GAAACTAACCAACTTTTTGGGTGTTAAAAGAAAATAAATTCTTGGAGTACAACGGACAAAGGAATGCGGCGATATGAAAAGTTGATATCTTTTTTAGAGGTTATTTTGGATTTTTTATCTATGAAAGAAAATCTAAATAAAAAAAATAAAAATTATTTTTCTAAATTATATTATCCGAAAACAAAAAAAAGAGAGAAAAGAAACTTTCTCCAATTTTTTCTTACCATCTCCATTTTTTAGTTTATTTTTTGAAATTTCTTTAATATTTTTGTATTATTTTTTAAGAATTATTTTAATATTTTATTTTATTATTTTAATTTATTTAAATACCCATTTAATATCCCCTTTATTGTTGTCAATTCTTTTATTTAAAATATTTTAACGGTGTCAGCGAAACTCAACAATTGGTCATTTATTTCATTCATTTTTAGTACTTGCATCGTTAATTTCTCCAAAATATTTATTAGAGAGAGAAAAATATTATTATCTAAATATTTTATAAATTTTTAAATTGCGCAGCCCAAAAGCACATTTAATGCAAAAATAAAATTACTATTTAAAAGTAAAATCATTAAATGATTTTTAAATTACGCAGTGATCTACCACCATTTAAAGGAATTTAAAATTATTTTTTAAATAAATTTTGTTAAAATTTAAAAATTAAATCAAAAAAATTTTAAAAAATTCCCTAGAGAAAATTGAAAAGGAAAAAAATAAAATTGGATTGAAATTGAAGCTTTATTTTCTCTCTTAATTTTGCAAAAATAACGCCTTTTTATTCACTCCAAAAAAGGAAAAGACTTTTGATTTGTCGAGAAATGCCTAGGAAATTTTAGAAAAAAATTTTTATTTTTTAGTCCAAATATTCTCTTCTTCAATATAAAATATTTAAAGAGCAAGTATTCATCAATAGTCCATCCATCCAAAAATAATTTTTGGCCAGAAAAAAAGAGGGCGAAACATTAGAAATACATTGTCTACTACTTTAATGCTTCCCTCAAAATAAACTAAAAGTTGAATAAAAGCGGGGTGACTAACGAGAAAAAAAAGAAAGAAAAGCAAAATTGCTCCCTAAATGTTTAACAAAATTTATTTAAATTGATTTTTATTTTTAAATTTATATTTTAAATTAATTAGGATAAAAAGACAGATCCATTTTTAACAATAAAATTTTAAATAAACTTTAATTGATAGAGTATATTTTTGTTGAATTTAATTATTTTTGTCATTATAAATTTAGAAAAAATTTTTTTTATTATTAAATGTTATTATTAAATTAATAATTTTTCTCTTCAATTTTATGAAAATTTAAATTCCAAATATATTCGAAATATGTATTTTTGTATATATTTTTATATATTTTATCGCTTTATTTTTAAATTTTAAATTTATTTTTTATATTTCCGTTTCCCCCCTTTAATATTTTGCATATTTTCATGGCTTTTAATACCAAATTTTCTTCATAAACCAAAATTGTTAGTTTAAGTAAAAGAGGAAATGTCCGAACATCTGCTCCAATTTACCAAAAATTCACTTGTTTGTATATTTAAATTGAAGAAAGAATCGAAAAAAATTTTTTTATTAAAAAAGATTAAAAATTTTTATAGAATTGGAGCTCTATTTTAGATATCCCTTGATTCTCAAAAAATTAAAGATCTTGAAAAGTTCATCTAAAGTTATCCAATAAATGATTATTTAATTTTTAATATTGTTTTTTTATTTTTATTTATTTAAAACAAATACCGTAAATGCTCTAATATATGCCCACAGAAGGAGACCTATCGAAAAATAGAAGCCCAGTCTCTAATAAAAGCCCAGTCTCCAATATAGGCCCGCTAAAATGACCCATTGGAAAACATAAGCCTACCGCTTATATTAAAGCATTTTCGTTATATTTTACTTAATTTTTTTTAAATTAAAAAAAAATCTGTGAAAATTAGCTAATACTCCAATACAAATTTTCGCAACAATTCCCAAATTTTAGTATTTTTTATTAACGCTAAAAAATTTTCCAAATTATTTTTAAAAACATTTTTTAATTTAATTTTCCACAAAAAAGACAACCGTTATTTTACAAAATTTGTAATTTCCTTTCCATCCTTTGTGGTTATTAAAAGAAAAAAAAAGAATTTAGAGGACAAGTAAAAAAAGGATTTTTTGGGGACAAAGCTAATCTTCTTTTTTTTTCTTCTTCCATTTTTTACCCCTCATTTACTCAAAACCTCTTTGTTCTTTTTACATCCATTTTACTATTCTAGTAGATTTTTTTCTGGTTACATGCATTTTTTAGTTGATACATATTATGTTGTCTAAGAATATTTTTGTACAAAAAATTAGAAATAAATCTTTTAATCTGTCCGAAAATTTTTTTAATTTTTGGAAATTAAATTTGTAGCACTTCCTCCTTTCCTGTCCCCTTAATAATTATTATTATCTATTAAAAACAATTTAATATTAACTTTATAGTCAATTCAATATTTATTTTAAACATTTATGAATAAATAATTTCTTTTCTTGTCTATTCAATCCTCCCTCACATCTGTACATATTTTGAATAATAAAAAATAAAATAAAATATTAAGCGTGCCAAGCAACGAAAAATAAAAAATAAATTTTACTAGAAAATCATTTGGATAAAAAATAAAAGTGGCTGCTTATTTCCTCCCTACTTTGCCGTCCATTTTTTAATATTAATAATGCTTCTGTTTTTAATTAAAAATTGGGGGTTTTTTGCATTTGAAATTTTTTGAAGAAAAAAATTTTTAAGTAAAAGATAATATAGAAATTTCCAAATTTAATGAGTAACTATTTAAGGATGCTTTTAAATCTTTTAAAAACTTAAAAAATTCTTTTGAAACATAATTATAAGTTGACTGTAAATTCAATATTTTCTTCATAATAATTCTACAAATATCCAGCTAAAAATAGTAAATTCTATTATTACCTGAGACTTAGGCTAATTTGTTAATTAAAAAATGCTGCTAACAAAAACTTTTTTTCATTCAAAAATTTTTTAGAATAAAAATTGTCAAAATTTAGAATAAAAATTGTTAAAATTGTCAAAAATTTTTTAGAATAATATGGCGGCACTTTTTGATGCCTCCACTCCAGCTACTCCATATTTTTCTTCAACATCTTCCTCTTCTTCATCCCCTTCCTCTTCTTCTTCCTCCTCCTCTCATTTTTCCCCTTCAAATAAACAACAATTAGAACAAATAAATAATCGAAGTAATTCCCCCAATTCTGATCATTACGATACTCCTTGGGAATTTAAAAATCGGACATTAGCAGCAATTTTAGAAAATCAACGACAGGAACAACAACAACAATTAAAACATTTAGAAAAACAAATACAAATTAAAAATCCAAAAAATAATGAAGGTAATGATAAAAAATAAAAGAAAATTAAGTTTTTAAAGAGAAAAATATTTTTATTTGTTAAATTCAGTGGGGAAATTAATAGGTATCAAAAAAAATTTTACTAGTACCTGTTTATGAACAAATTGAAATTTTTGAATGATCTTTAGAATGGCATAAAGGCATTCGATTGCGAATGGCATTCGATTGCATCTATATCCATCAAGATATTCCATTTTTAGTCTTGCCACTATCAAAAATACACCCCAAACAAGATTCTGAAGATTAGAATATTTTATATTCTTGGAATCAAGATTTTCTAATTGTTTTATTTATAATGGGAAGATCAGGTCCTCCTATCATTAAATAAAATACCACAATTGTCTCATATTGAGACCGGTCTAATAAAGTAAAAAATAAAAAAATCACTTATCGATGTTGGGGTAGTTAAGGGAACAATAACCTGGGTATCTTCTGATATGAATCCATTTTTAATCTTTTATTCACGGATGGATTTAACCTCCTTTACTTAATTTTACAAATTTTTTCGATGAATTTTTAATTATTTGTCCTTAAATTAATTTCTAAAAATATTTTTCTCTTTAACGGAATATTTATTATTAATTTTATTTTTTAAAGTAAATATTCCAAATTCCAACAACAACAATCAAAGAATTTTAAATAATGGAAATGAAAGATCTGAGGGTGAAGCAACAGTAGAACATGGAAACCGTTTGAGTTTTCCAGCTAATTTCTCCAAAATGGAAGAATTAAAAACGAAAAATTTCTCCAACCAACCAATTCAACAACAACTAATTTTAGAGGATAATATTAAAACAAGAAAGGGAAAAATGAAAAATGACGGGGTAAAGATTTAAATAAATTTTTTCAAGATAAAGAAACAAAATAATGTGATCTAAAAATATATCCTTTTTGAATTTTTAACAAAGTTTTTTAAATAAAAGTGTTTTTGTTCGGCATAGGTAGGCTTTCTAAGGGTGGCGACCGTTTTACCATATTTATAGAGGATTTTCCTTATTTTTGAGGGAATGTTCCCTATTTTGGTGATTTGGAAACGGCCACCCTGTTAGAGAGTGGTATTTATTTAACGAACAAACTTCTATCCGAATTTGGAATTATTGGAGTGGGGCTTATGAAAGATATGTAAATATTCTAAAACATTTTTATCATTTAACAGCAATTAAATTCCAATCTTCAACCAAATAAAAATCTGGAATTAAAAATTAAAAACAACAAAGAATCTCCTTCCCCTCCACCTTTACCTGCTCACAAAAATAATTTAAAACAACTACAAAACAATAACAATATTAACTTACCTTCTAAATCTCCTTCAAAACCACCATTATCCCCTTTAAAATCAAACTTTTTTCTTCATTCACCAAATAATTTAAATAATCAAAATTTGATAAAAATTGGAGATAAACAACAACAAAAACTAATAAACGAAAGAATTAAAAGTTTAAAGTTGGTATTTTTTAAAATAAATAATTATTTATTATTCTAATTTGTTTGGTAGAAGAAAATATTTTTTGTAAATTAAATTACCTAAATTTTATTTTTAAAAAATAACAAATACTTTTATACTTTCTTAAATTTTTTTAGTTCTAATTTACAAAAAGAAACAAAAGAAGAAAATAAAAATAATATTATTATTATTAAAAATCAAAAGCAATTATCACCAAATATAAAACAAAGATCCGCTCCTTCACGTAAATATCCTCTCGTTAATTTAACTACAAAAAATAAAAATGAGGTAATCACTCTTTTTAGGGTTTTACTTTTATTTTTTGGGATTTTGTTTAATACTCCTTTAATATTTGCTTAATTGAATTTTATTAAAAATTTATTAGGGTATCATTGAATATTAGAAACCGGACTGGGATTTTTAGAGATATTCCGGACTGGGATATCTCGAAAAATACCTATCTTGATTACCTAGACTTTCGTTGGAAATCTCTTCTCGGTCAGGTTTTACTAGAAATTAATGCTTCGATTTTTTAGTTATCTTTTTATTCTTCCACTTTCATTTAGTAAAATCAAAATTTAAGATTCTAACTTTGAAGTATTAAAATAATTTATTTCAAAAGGTCCTCACATTTTGTCAAGAAAATTCATTTGGTGAAAAAGAAAAGTTAAACAACAATTTAATACACGAAAATATGGAAAGGGCAGAGGCTGAATTATTACTTGGTGCCATGCCTTTAGGTTCTCATTTACTTAGAAGAAGACCGGACAGAAGTTTAGCATTATCACTTAAAGCAAATGAAGGTAAATTAAATAAATTTTAAATATTTTTTGACTACTGATTAATGTTGACCGGTATCGGAATCCCGATCGGATTTGGGCGCGATTATCCCTTTAATTTTTAATTAAAAGCACTATACTAATTTTAAAGGTGTATTGCACATCAAATTAGAATATCGCTGCGACCGTTGGGTACTTGGAGAAGGACCTCGTTTTAATTCAGTTGTTGAAATGTTGAAGGCCTATCGTCGTGTTGAATTGCCAGTTAGAGGTGCTGAGCAAATTCGTCTTACAATTCTTTTCCGACCGGGGGATATGCCAGGAAGGGGGTTATTATTGCTCTAAATTTTGATAATTATGTGATTGAATTATAGTGTAGAAATTAATTTTATTTTCCTATTTCATTTATTGAAAAAATTTTTTTAATAAATTGTATAAAATTAATTTTTGTAATATAATATCTGATTATGTTCATTATTAGTCTCTGATATTAAAATCCACAAATTTGAGATATTCCTCTAAATGTCTGGCCTTCTGAAAAAGCCTTTTTTATTTCCCGAAAAAGCCTTTTGAATTAGGAGCCTTTCTGAAATCTCTTGTCTAACTGTATTGATATTAAATGTCCCTGAATAACTTCTGCAAAAAAGTTGAAGGTATTTAAAAAATCAAAAATTACTATAATACATTTTAACTAATTTATTTTTACATTCCCCATTAAGTTTATTAAAAATTAAAGAAAATTTATTTTATATACTATTTGAGTTTTTGGCAAAAAATAAATTAAAATATGACAATCATATTTACTGTCTTTCCTTATCTTTTTGGTAATTGTTCATGTTTAATCTTTGTTATAATACTTTGTGTTCAAAAAAAGTTATTAAAAATTATTTTTCATTTATTAAAGATTGTCTAATTTGGTAAAAATAGTTTCAATTTTATTAATGTTGTCTATTATAATTTTTTCTTGAAAAACTTGTAATCATTCGATACAAAATTACTGATAAATTAATTATTTATAAACTTCGAATTTTAATAAATATTTAGATTATTATTTTTAAAGATTGTGAATTATGTAGGTAATTATAATATTTTCTCTAATTTTATGTTAAATCAAAAATTATCTTATTAATGATTAAATAATTAACTACTTAGTAATCATTCTTTACCTTAATATTTTTAGAAAACATTTGTCCCCCTTATTTTTTAAAATAAATTCATGAGCTCTTGAACTTTTTTCAAATTGATGTTTATTAGTCTAATCAACTAGTCATTTCAAATTACCTTCTCAAATATCCTTCTTCTCACATTTTTCAATCAACAAATGTCATTTGTTACTTGCCCTCCTTATTTTTTTGTTTTCCACTAATTTTCCCAGACGAATTCCAATTAATTTGTGATGGTTTAGTTTTTAGTCTTTATAAGTTTAAATATTTTTTTAAGTTTTTTAGTCTAAATTTATGTTCATTTATTTTTCTTATTTACTTTTAAAATTAAACGAAATTTTTAATTTTAAAGGTTTTGTAGCAGAGAATTAATAAATTATTTAAATATGGACATTTAGCCTTTAAGTGAAAATCTGAAAATTTTTCTATTGATTTACTTCTTCGATCTACTCTTATCCACTTAATCCTCACATCTTCCTTGTAATCTTAATAGATTTCCCCTTGCCTTTCCTTTTAAATTTTTAGTTTTTGCATTTATTGGCATTATGTAGAAGTTTGGTTTTGTTGGCAAAATGTCTTTTTTTATTCGGAAAATTTTTTTAGCTTATCTTTTAAAAATTCCTTTTGGCCTATTTTTTTGCAGGTTTTCTCAAGTCTGATAAAATCAATGTTTTCTTTGATTACAATTCCATGTAGATTTTGTAAACGATTAATTAATCTTAAAATTTTTTTAATTTATAGATTACAAGTTCTCATTCTTTTTTTTTAATTTTTTCTTTTAACTGCCCAGCAATCTCTACTTGTGACATTTAAAATTTGTCATTGAAAAAGGAAATATTCTGTACAGTTTTGCATTTAAAACTTTTAAAACTGATAAAATCTCGTCTAAAAATATAAAATAATTTTCTCTTCTCTTTGTGTATACAATGGTTATTACTCTCGTCTCTTCTCATTTTCGCGCCGCCAATAAACTTACACCAGCATTGCTTATATTTGATTCATTCTTTCATTCAACAACAAAACCAATAAATCGTCAATTATTTCAGACAACACCTAAAATATTTAAACGTTCATTTTCTTTATCAGTTGCTGCTATGCAAAAAATTAAAGTTGAAAATCCAGTTGTGGATCTGGATGGAGATGAAATGACTAGAATTATTTGGGCTGGAATAAAGGACAAAGTATATTTATTTTTTTGTTTTTAAATAATGTTGATCCTAATAGATTTTTGGGTACTCCTGCCGTTTAAGGGGGACGCTGTTCTCTGACCATTATGAGACCAGTATATTCTCTTTTATATCAATCAAAATTTATCCTTCTTTACTCCTTAACTAATTTTTATTTTTCACGAATATAATGTGGTTTAATTGAAATTTTTTGCCAAAATTATAGTCATAGAAAGGCGGCCCCCTTAAACTGTACGAGTACCGATTTTTGCCACAAATAAGAGTCTCAAACTCCTGTTTTCTATCAATTTTTCTAATTTCAGTTAATTCTTCCTTATTTGGATCTCGATATCAAATATTATGATTTGAGCATCGAAAATAGAGATGCAACGAATGATCAAGTTACTTTTGATGCTGCAGAGGCGATTAAGAAGTTTAGTGTTGGAATTAAATGTGCAACAATTACGGCTGACGAAGCCAGGTTTTTTAGTGTTTTCTAAATGTAATTTAAAATATAATTTTAAGGGTAAAGGAATTTAATCTTAAAAAGATGTGGCCTAGCCCTAATGGAACAATTAGAAATATTTTGGGTGGAACAGGTTTGAACATAGAAATTTAATAAAAATATCAAAACAATTTTAAGTATTCCGTGAGCCAATTCTTTGCAAAAACGTTCCTCGTATTGTCCCTGGTTGGCGTAAGGAAATTGTCATTGGAAGACATGCATTTGGAGATCAATACAAAGCTACAGATATTGTTGTTCCAAAGGGATCCAAATTTGAAATAAATATTCAACATTCTGATGGAAAAGTTGAAAAAGTTCCAGTTTTTGATTTTGCCGATTCTGGTGGAGTTGTTCTTGGAATGTAAGTTTGTTTAAATTATTTTATACCGGGGTTTTCTAACAAAGATTAAACCGGTTTTTAAATTGTTTTTATGTCTCCATTTATTTTTTGAGAAAATTCTCTAAAAATAATCAATTTAATTTTAGTTTAAATTTTTATTTAAAATTTAGGTATAATACAGACGAATCAATCCGTGGTTTTGCCCATTCTTGCTTCCAATATGCTCTGATCAAAAAATTTCCTCTATTTTTGAGCACAAAGAATACAATTCTTAAGCGTTATGATGGGCGTTTTAAGGATATTTTTGCAGAAATTTTTGAGAGGTTTTTAAGTTTTTTATTATAAAGATTATTTTTTAATAATTTTGTAGAGAATATAAAGCAAAGTTCGATGCTTTGGGTGTTTATTATGAACATCGTTTAATTGACGATATGGTTGCTCAAGTTTTGAAAGGAGAAGGAGGATTTGTTTGGGCTTGCAAGAATTATGATGGGGATGTTCAAAGTGATGTTGTTGCTCAAGGTTATGGATCTCTTGGATTGATGACATCTGTTTTGATGTGTCCAGATGGAAAGACAATTGAGGCGGAAGCAGCTCATGGAACTGTTACTCGACATTTTAGAGAGCATCAGAAGGTAATTTTTTAATGTGATTGAGATCTGGGTGTAACGTGCTTTGGATTAGCTTAACAATATGTTCTTAAAAGATCTGGAGACCAAGTTTCAGAACATTGCCATTAAACAAATCCTTTTTCGAAATGGGTTGTTGTGGTTCATTTTTTCGATTATTATATTTTTCCCTATTAAAGCAAAAACAAATTTATTTTAAGGGAAATCCAACTTCAACAAATCCCGTTGCTTCTATTTTTGCTTGGACTCGTGGATTAGAACATCGCGGAAAACTTGACAAAAACGATGCTTTGGTTAATTTTGCTCGTTCATTGGAACAGGCTTGTGTCCTTACAATTGAAGAAGGAAAAATGACAAAAGATTTGGCTATTTGCATTCACGGGCTTAAAGGAGCGAAAGAAGGGACATATTTGTACACAATGGATTTTCTTGAGGCAGTTAATGAAAAACTTAAACGAATTCTTAGTATTTAAATTTTAAAGAGTATAAGGCTCAATAATTTTAATGTTTTTGTTGAACTTTATTTAAAATGAATGCAATCCTTTTCCTCTTTTTTTATTATTTTCCTCAAAACTTGACACCTTGTTCTTGGCTTGTAATTTTGATTTTTAGCTCTTTTTAATGTAATGAATAAATAAAAATTTTAATGAGATTGCATTCTTTTAAGTAAAGTTCTTTTTACAGGGTAGCCCTTCTTTATGAATTATTTTAAGCTATATTGATTATTTTGCTTGATTTTTGGGCATAATCCTCGTATTATTTAATTTTAACCTCCTTTTAATACTTAAAAATTTCCATCTTTGTTTGTGTCTGTTCTTTATGTCTTTGCCATTTTTAACTTTGTGTTTATAGATTTTGCAATAAAGAAGATAAAATTTGAAATGGAAGGATTTTTGATATATATGTAGAAGTTCTAAGGGCTTCAATTTATTTTTTATTAAAAAAATTTTTACTGTCAGGACTCATATTATTATTATTAAAAATTAAATTTAGCTCAAAAATTAACCATCAAAATTGTAAATAAATGAATGAAACTATCAAAAACGAAGCAATGTTTTACACTTTTATCAATTTTTGTCTTACTAATTGTTTTCATTATTTACTGGAATAATTCTTCAAATTTCTCAAAAATATGTAGCACAATATTTACTCTTCAACAGCAACAATCTCAAAGAAGAAAAATTGTTATTTATAATCGAGTAAGTGTTTAAAAAATTAAATTTTTTGGAAAGAAATCCTTTCTTTTAAAGATTCCAAAAACAGCCTCTACAACATTTACAAATGCTGTAGCTTATGATTTGTGTCAGAGAAATGGATTTCACGTTGCTCATCTTAATTTAACCAAAAGTCGAATGCAAATGAGTAAAATAGATCAATTTTTGCTGGCTAAAAATATAACGGAATGGATGGATATTCAACCATTATTTCTTCATGGACATTTTTCTTTTGTTGATTTTCAAAGGTTTAAATTAATTTTTATAAACTATTGGTGTTAATTCTTGCTGAAAAATATTTTCGTATGAATTAACCGTTAGATCTTTTACGGGGCTATAGCTTAACAATAAGCTTTCCCCAAGTTTTTGTTCCCCAAGACTTCCCTTCTCCATAATTTAAAAAAATTTCAGTCTTGGCTTCCCCCCACCAATTTGGATTAATTTATTGCGTGAACCATTTGAACGTCTAGTTTCTTATTTTTATTTTCTTCGTCATGGAGATAATTTTCGTGTTGGTCTAAAAAGAAGTAAAGCTGGGAATAACGAAGTTAGTTTTTTTTAAATTAGAATTTTGTATATTTATTTTTAGACTTTTGACGAATGTTTTTTGAATAAAAATAAAGAATGTAATCCCTCTTCTGTTTGGTTGCAGATTCCTTTTTTCTGTGGAACAGCACATTTTTGCACGTAAGAAAAATATTTTTAACGGATAAACTGATTTTGTTAAAAATTGGGTTGGACTGTGTCCTTCGATCCAGGGCCCCTTCTCTCCAAAGCGGCCTAATCAGTTCGGCCATCCGTCCACCCATCGGCTAGTGCGAATTTTGTTGTTTATTATTAGCCGATGTCCATTTCCTTTGCTCTTACTTTTTCCTTCGCTAACATAAGTAAGATTTTATTAATTCCCTAATTTGAATCCACCCTTTTTTCTCTTTAATTTATTTTTCTTTTTTTAGTGACCCAGGAAATCAACAAGCATTTAATAAAGCAAAATATAATCTTCTTAATAATTATCTTCTTGTTGGAACGACTGACAGAATGGAACAAATGATCAAACTTTTGGAGTTTTTACTTCCTGAATATTTTAAAAATGCTAGTGAACATTTTAATTCTCTTAATGGTATAATTTAATTTAAGGAAAAATATTTTTAAATTTAAAAATAGAAAAAAGGAAACATCTTCGACATACTACAAAAAAGATTTTACCTTCTCTAGAAGTAGAAAATAAATTTAAACAAAATTCAATATACAGAATGGAAAGGGAATTTTATGATTTTGCAGTTAAAGAATTTGAGTATGTTTGGCAACAATTTTTGAGTTTTAACAAAAATCAGAAATCACAATTTCGGTTTGAGAAGATTAGACCTTAAATATTTTAAGTTTTTTTATTTATTTGCTTTTACTTTGCTTTTTTAACTTTGGCACACTCCCCAAATCCCAAAAACAGCTAATTTCCGGGTTTCAAATGTTGTCATTCGGTTGGTCCTTAATTTTTTTCTCGTTACTTTACTTCATTTCTTAGCCCTTCATTTATTTTTTAACTCAATACCTAATTCATGACCTAAGTTATTAATGGAATGTTGGACCAGGTTTATCAAAGAAAGATTATTAAACAAATTTTAATCACATCCTTTAGTAGTTGCTGGCATGTTCTCTTCTGTGCTCTCTACAGCTTTAACAATTATGTGCTTCATAAATGATTTGTGGGAATAATATCGCTAGCAGCCTTTGACTGAACGTAAATGTTGTTTTGACAAAGTCCAAATAAAAATTGTCAGTGCTGACAGGCCCAGGCTATAAATGAAAAGATTATAAATGGAAGGCAAAACCGTGCACGGGTTCAACTCCACACATTTCGAACATGGAGGTGCGTACTTTAAATGCAAAACGCTACAAAATCAGGTTTATAATAAATTTTAAAATATCCTAATTTTTTTACTGACAAATCCTAATTCCATAATTTCTTTAGAAAATACCAATCATGCTGATCCACTAGTTGTCGCCATCATGTTTTCTTCAGTGGACTCATTAGCACTTATTGTAATAATTCGAGAGAATTCGCCACGAACCCCACGCGGTATAACATCACTTGCTGCAGTTTGTGAAGCGCTCATAGCTGTATGAACAAACTCAATAATGGCTCTATTCGGCCAAATCTTCCGCTCCATAAAATAATGAAAAATGATCAAAAAATGTTATTAATACCGTCGCAGGACGCCAATTGTAGTGTATTTAATCAAATAAACCCAAAATACAACTAGTACAGTTAGCGTCCTGCAACGGGTATTAATAACATTTTTTGATCATTTTTCATTATTTTATGGAGCGGAAGATTTGGCCGAATAGAGCCATTATTGAGTTTGTTCATACAGCTATGAGCGCTTCACAAACTGCAGCAAGTGATGTTATACCGCGTGGGGTTCGTGGCGAATTCTCTCGAATTATTACAATAAGTGCTAATGAGTCCACTGAAGAAAACATGATGGCGACAACTAGTGGATCAGCATGATTGGTATTTTCTAAAGAAATTATGGAATTAGGATTTGTCAGTAAAAAAATTAGGATATTTTAAAATTTATTATAAACCTGATTTTGTAGCGTTTTGCATTTAAAGTACGCACCTCCATGTTCGAAATGTGTGGAGTTGAACCCGTGCCCGGTTTTGCCTTCCATTTATAATCTTTTCATTTATAGCCTGGGCCTGTCAGCACTGACAATTTTTATTTGGACTTTGTCAAAACAACATTTACGTTCAGTCAAAGGCTGCTAGCGATATTATTCCCACAAATCATTTATGAAGCACATAATTGTTAAAGCTGTAGAGAGCACAGAAGAGAACATGCCAGCAACTACTAAAGGATGTGATTAAAATTTGTTTAATAATTTTTCTTTGATAAACCTGGTCCAACATTCCATTAATAACTTAGGTCATGAGTTAGGTATTGAGTTAAAAAATAAATGAAAGGCTAAGAAATGAAGTAAAGTAACGAGAAAAAATGTAGGACCAGCTAAGTTTTTGTGATAATATAATAGGTAGCTGTAGGGATGTACCAAAAGTGGTTTAATTTAATGTTTATTTTCTTTTTACTATTTACATTTATTGTTTTAAAAAATAAATTATTTAAATTTATTTTCTTTTTAAAAATTCAAGAGGACCACCCAACCATTTTGTGTAGAAAAGTAAAAGAATATTAAGAATAAGGACATCTTTTTAAAAACTTGAAATATACTAGTACATTTAAATTATTTGTTAAATTGAATTATACTATTTGTGAACTATAATAGGGAAAGAAAAAATAATTTGGGGGGGGGGGGGGATATTCTAAATAAGCGGATTTTGTTGTATTAACTATATAGTCAGATGATGGACACTTGAAAAATAAAAATAAACAAAAATCGTTTTTGTTAGTTGATCTCTTATTGGCAATGTCCGAAAGAATATTGACTACGAGGAGTGGCCAAAAGAACTTTTCTGTGGGTAAAGAGGGGGATATTTTCTCTCCGTTCTTTACGTCGTGACCTTTCTTTTTAAGCTACAAACACTTTTCTCGTCATTATTCGCAATGACCGGATTTAAAAATGTTTATTCTTCCTTAACTTTTTTTCTCGTTGTTTAACTTCATTTTTTAAGCTTTTCATTTATTTTTTATTTTAACTCAATACTAAATATAAAATTTTGATTATTATTTAATTTTAGTTTTATTTTACATACTCTCAAAAATGTTTTACAACTTTAACAATTTTATTTTTAAATTATTTTTAATTAATTTATTTTATAATTGTTTGTGTCACCAACATCAACATTATTTTAATAATTATCAAAATAATTTGTCAAATCCATTTTTATATGCGGTAAAGGGGAATATTTAGGGAATGTTTTTCAAAAGAAAAAATATTTTTAGCAACAACAACCAACAGTTTATCTAACATTCGGTAATCATCCACTAGTTTTTCCTTACCCACAAACTTCTAACAATCAGCAAAGGCTATCTAATTCCTATCCTTGTATAAGCAGATGTCAGCCTTATCGTTGGACAACTTATAGATGGAATGGAGCAAGTAAAAGTTTATTTTAAGACCTGATCCAAAGTATTACTGTATTCTATCATTGAACTAGATTAGAATGGAAGGGGGCTTTCATTGAATAATATCATTGTTTTTTAAAATATTCCTTTAAAGAAGATTTTATGTTAAAAGGGGGACCCTAATTTTTAATGTTTTCTAAGTAGAGAGGAGAGGGAGCTAGTAAGTATTAGAACGATATTCTAAAATTATTCGGTAATAGTTTGGAATTCGCCCCCCTTTTTTTCATCGTTTCCCTAACCATTTTGAGCTTTTTGTTTGATACATAATTTATCATATATCATTCGAAAGCGCTCATCGAGCCTGGTCGAATGATACTAGGACTGGCCAGATCTGATCATTCTTACTAAAATTATGAAGCCAAATCCTAGTTTGGGCAAACTTTTTGTGTCATTGCAAGTGGATAAAATAAACGGTCACAACTTTGTTCACTTAAGTCAGATTTAATTTATTTTAATGTCATTCGACTCAGCTCGAAGAGCTCTTTCGAATGATATATAATTTGCCATAAAATGAGAAAAAACTAGGAAAAAAATAAAGAGGAAAAAAAGGGGGGGGGGAATTCCAAACTATTCTATTACCAATTATTCTTAAGTCTCTTCAAATCGCCCTCAACAACCAAATACTTCCTCTCCTCCTCCTCCAACAACAACAACAATATCCCCAGAACCTTCACCTATTGTTATTCAACTTAACAATACAATTCAACCAATACAATCTGCAAACATTCAAAGTGCCCTAATTCGTCTAATATTCCATTCAACAACATTACAAACAACAACAAATTTAATTACTACAAGTTCTGTTGTTTCTGAATTACCCACACCCCCTCCCTATACACAAAACGTTCCTGGAGGTAAATTAAAAACCTCTAAAAACTCCAAAACTTTTTTTTTAATTTTTAGATGTTGTATCCTCTTTTCAACGTCCAAATCCTTGTCCTGAAGGACAACCATTAATTAATGGTTTGCATAACCCTATGACCTGTAATTTTGTTGTTAAACCAAATGGTGGTTGTCCAAATAATTATTGGTGTCATACGGGTAATAATTTTCCTCTAAAATTTTATCTAGATTTTATTTAAAGGTGCCTCTTATGAGACAACAACTTGCTGTCCATATAATGAACATTCAAGTAAAAGAAAATAATAATTTCTTTTAATGTTTAAATATTTTTAATTTAAGAATCTCGTTGTCAATTACCCCGTGCAGGTGGAACGGGGGATGAATTAATTCCTCGTTGGTATTTCGATGCTGGGTGAATTTTTATTTTTATTAATTTTATTTGAAAAAAGTCGGTTCTTACCTTTATTAGGGCTATACGGGAATTTGAAATGAAATAAATTTAGACAGTGGACGGTGTGAAATGTTAAAAATTTGTCTGGATAGTTAGGGATTTGGCTATATTAGATTGTACCTATTCTAGTATTTGTTAATCTAAAAAATTATTTTCTTTTAGAGCACATAAATGTAAACGTTTTTTATATCGAGGAATGCACGGAAATGCCAATAATTTTGTTACAGCAATGAGTTGTTCCGAAACTTGTGAAAATAGTTAAAAATAATTTAATTTATTTTAAAATTAAAAATAAATATATTTTAGCTGATTATTTAGCTTCGGCAACAAGAAATCCTTGTTCAAATGGGTGGCCAGCACGTGATTTAGCTGGTAAACAATTTCTCTGTGGAACGTCAGATTCCCGCTGTCCTGCTGGGTATTTTTGTCATTTGGGGGAATTAGCTACTTTAAATGTTTGTTGCGAACTTTCAACTGCAGGTAAATGAAAAATTAGAGAAATTTCTAGTGAAATTCTAGAATTATCTAGTGAAAATAAAAAAAAGAGAGAAATTTATTATTCTGGAGATTTTTAGTAACTAAAGACAAAAATATTAAGACTTAAGGATCCTCTAGATTATCTAGTTTTTCTTTTCGGATTAGTCTCCTATAGGGCCAGGCACCCTCGGATGCCTGGAGGGCACCTCGCACCTCTTCAAATCTTTGAACCAAATAAATTACGTATAAACGAGGAAGTCTATTATTGGGGGAGTAAATAATCAAGATTCCCCCTGATGTGTTCCCGAAACTTTATGTTCAAAAATCCTCTTCCCACCTCGATTTTACATATTTTTCTTTTAATTTTCAAGCTTCAAATCGTTGTAATTTGGCTTTACGTATTGGTGAAGGAATTGCAAATTTGAAACGTTTTTATTTTAATACTTTAACAAGAAAATGCACAGAATTTGTTTATAAAGGAATTAAAGGAAATGAAAATAGTTTTTTGACTATTGATGAATGTAAAGCTATTTGTAAAAGTTGGAAAATTAATTTTTAATTAAAATTTTCTAATTAAAAATTAAAGAATTACCCAATCCCTGTCCAATGCATTACGATTTGGGTGAAAGAAAGGAATGTACTGGGACGGATGGACAAAGTTGTGGTCGTGGAGAATGGTGCCATATAGGGTCTAAAATAGAAACAACTGCTTGTTGTCCTGCTGGTTTTTAATTTAAAAATATTTTTTTAATTAAAAATTCTAGCTGTTGTTGATATTTGCAAACTTCCCTTAGATTTGGGACAAGGAATAGAGAACTTAACTCGTTGGTATGCTGTTAATTTAGAAGATCCTTGTATGCGTGAATGCCGTCCTTTTCAATATAGAGGTGTGTTTAAATGACTCTGGGAAGCCACGAAATATGTGAATCGTTGTGTAAACCTTGGGAGAAGCCTTCCCTTTAATATGTCAATCGACTAATATTTTAAAAATTCAGGGATGTGGATATCCCAGAATTTTTAAAATTTTCCTTTTTAAGATTTATTTACTTCTTCTAAACAATATATGTAATTTTATTTTTCTTTAAAGGAATGAAAGGAAATCAAAACAATTTTTTAACAAAAACAGAATGCGAAGCTCGTTGTAAATCTGAATGTCCAATCTCTTTAAATCCTTGTTCAGAAAATGGACAAATATTATTAAATAAAGAAGGCAAACCACATCGTTGTAATTCCACAAAAAGTGGGCAATGCCCGCCTAATTATTGGTGCCATATTGGGGCAAATGTTGAAACTACTGTTTGTTGTAGTAGTGGAGGTATTTATCTGATTATTCCTCATTTAATAATCAAATAGCAAGGTACTAGACCGTTCCGTCCGGATTTTTCCGGAGTCCGGGCCACAAATTCGGCCTAGTGAATATCCTTTCTAAGGAGTAACTACAAGATATCGGTCTGGATCTGGATTCAGTCTGGATTTTTCCTGGATCCAGAATCCTGTTCAGGTTACTAATCTGAATCCAAATCTAGGATTTTTGAAAATATCGATCTCTAGTAAATACCCTTTTACCCTTTTTTGGTTCTTAAATAAATTAAATTTTAAATTTTCTCAATAAATTTTTTTAAACTTTGATTGGAACCAGAAAACATTCAGATTTGGGTTCAAAACATAGTCTCTATTATAGAAAAATTTTAAAGTACAAATTTATTTCGAATTTTAGTAGGTAAAGCTTGTAATCAATCACTTGCTGAGGGTTTTGGGAATGCTCTTCTTTCTCGTTGGTATTATAATTTTAAAGATGGAAATTGTCAAAAATTTATTTATCGAGGAATTGGGGGAAATCGGGTAATAAAAAAGAATTTTCTTGAAAGAAAAAATTATTTTTTATTTAAAAGAATAATTATGTTGATTATGATGATTGTATGAATGCTTGTCCAGATAATTCTAAAGAAGAAGAAAAGACTTTAACAACAACAACCCCATTGCTTACAACATCAAAAGCAACAACTACAACAACATTAAAAACAAAAGGAATTAGAAAAATAAAAATAAATCCTCCTCCCCCAGCACCCCCACCAACAACTAAACAACAACAATTAATAATTAAAGAAATTAATTTAATAGAAAATCCTTGTAGTAACGGAAATAAACCTTTATTAAATCCAAATAATTTATTACCTTTTGAATGTTCACCAGAGCAAAGATGTCCAGATACTCATTTTTGTCATATTAGTGATATTAAATATTTATCACAAAAATGCTGCCCTAAAAGTAAGTTTTTTTTGAAAAATTTGGGTTACTTTTAATAGGCATTTTTCAAGAAAAAAATATTTAATTTTAGAAATTTAACTCACTCAACTAAATATAATCTCGAAAATTAAAAACTGTTTATTTATAATTTATTTAAAAATAACTAGTACTTCAAGTATTTCAACAAAAAATAATTATTCCCTCCATTTAAATTTTTGCATCTTTTAATTTAAAATCAAAAAAATTTTTCCAAAGCTCTACAGAAAATGTTTGAGTAAATTATTTTTTGTATCCGAAAGTAAAACAAAGTCTGTAGAGCATTTTTAATGTAGAATTAGCAGATCCGGATCCGAAAAAGTCGGGATATCCGGAAATTTCGTATACGAGTATTCGTGGATTTTTCAGGATCCACCAACCCTTCTCCAAAGGTGATGCCTCGAATTAATTAAATAAAATTAAAATGATTTTATTTTTTGGTATTAATTATTACAAAATAAAAAAAATAATTAAAATTAATTATTTATTATTTTCTTTTTATTTTCTTCATTCTCTCTTTAAATATTATACAAATCACTTTCTTTTAATTTATTTTCATCAAAAAACAAAATTGGCCATTTTTCAGTAATTAATAAGGCTGTGATTTATAGGCAAATGCCTATTTTTTCTGCAAGCTTGGGATGATGTAATACGTTCAAAAAACGTGTTTTTAGCTCGGTCCAATAAGTCTAGCATGACTTTTAATATGCCTATTTCTGCCTATTTTTGACTTTTTGTGCCTTTCTGCCTATTTTGAAATTTTTGGTACTATTTTTGCCTTTTTAAGCGATTTTTTCGAAATTTTGCCTAAAAATCAGTGCAAAATCTAAAAAAATCAGTCCCAAATTAGAAAAAATCAGTGCCAAGTCCCATTAATAATTTTTAGTTCGTTAAATTGTTTATTTTTACTCTGTTGGACATTTTGAACTGGGACGATCTGGTTTTGGGACGTTTTGGGGTGCGGCATTTTGTGTGTTGGGCGAGATTTCCATTTTGTCAATTATCGGGATTTAAAAAAAATTTACTCCATTTTTTTCAAAAAATGATTAAAAATGACGAATAAATGGTAAAATTGTTTAAAAAATAGTTTAGAATTTAAAAAATTACGATTAATTGGTTATTTTTTCTGTTTTTATCTACATTTTATGGTCTAATATCCTTTTTACATGCCTATTTTTGTGCCTTTTTCGGCTTTTTTGTGCCTATTTTAGGCGCCTATTTTACTGATTTTACTTGCCTAACTATCACAGCCTTAGTAATTAAAGAAAGTTGGGGAATTTTTGTAGAATAAATTAGTAATTCAATATAAAATAATGTTAAAGATGTTTTAAAAAATAAACAATTAATTGGAGCCCCAAAATAACACATTTGTGTTGCTATAGTTGAACATTCACAGGCTAATTCTAATATTATTTTTAATAAATCTTTTTTGCATTTTTCAGTAATTATTTCCACAACATTTCCATTTAAATAATTATTACAATATTTATTTGTTATTTGTTTTAACTGTTTATATTTTTTAAATAAGGATGTTATTTTATCAACATTTTCCTAAAAAATAAAGAAAAAATAATTTTTGAAATTTTAAATTTCTCTTTTATTTTTCTTTCAAAAATTTTTCTATAAATTAAAATAGACACAAAAATCTTCTGTTTGTTTGATTTAAAAAATTTCTTTTAACGGTTCCTTTCCTAAATTTTCTTTAAATGTTTTTCAATTCCAAACCCAAAGACCTTCATTATCTAGCAGGGGTGTGCGAGTTTCGCCTTCGTCTTTCGCTTTTTAAAATCACTTTCGGCACACCCCTGTTATCTAGTAGCGATGTTCGAGACTTCAGGTCTCGGTTCCCGAGTCGGGAAATTTCCCGGGGTTTTGAGCTCTCGGTCTCGATTCTCGTGGTTGATTCCAAATCTCGACTCTCGGCTTTTTTTAACTCCCGAACATCACTATGTATTATCTAGAGCTACACACTTTTTTAATGTCGTTCATTCACAATTAGAGGTTTCTCTCCAATATCTCAAAACTTTTTCCACATATTCTATTAAACCTAATTTTAATAATTTATTAAAAATTGTTTTGACATTTTATCAAAAGTTTTATTTTTTAATTTACCTTCAACAATTTATTCATCCCTATTAAATTCTTTTTCATATTTTTTCCTTCATAAGTCATTTTTCCAATTTTCCTTCTAATTTCCGACAACTTTTCTTCCAAAATATATTTTTTACAAATTGGATGGTCTTGATTAAATGTCATTTTTATTTTATGGGGAATTTTCCAAAAATCATCAAAATAAATAAAATAATACTTAAATTCCCCATTATTTTCATTTAATCCTTTCAAAGCATTTTCTTTTGCATTATTAAACATTTGTACTTTTTTACAAAATTCTTTTTTTATTTCTTCAATTTCTTCTTTATTTGTTTTAAATTGTTCACAAAATTTTATCAATTTTTTAATGAATCTTTTATGGAATATTTTTAAAATTTCGAAATTATCTTCATTTGTTTCTCGAACTTAAATAAATGTATTTACTCTTTTTTAAATTAAAATATTTTAAAAAACCTTGATTAAAATTTTTAATAATTATTTCATTTTCTTCTTCTTCTGAAAAAATTATATGTACAGTCTAATCTAGGGTTGTTGGTTCTGGACCGAACCGAAGAACCGAGGATTTTTCGGTTCGGTTTTTCGGTTCGGTTTCGGATATCCAAAGATTTTCCAGGAACCGACAACCATAGTCTAATCAAATTTTTAGAATACCTTTTGGTTTGAAAAAGTTGTAGGGATGCATACCAGGGGCAGGTTTAGTCTCTTATCTTCTGGAATCTCGTGTCTCGTATTTTGTGGGACTAGGCTTACCCCTGATGCATATCCGATCCCGACCCAACTTTTTTCTCATCCCGTGATATCCCTATGAGGGGGGAGGGGGGGGGGGTAATCATTTGGGTAACTCCAATGTCCAGACACCTCTTTATTTAATATTTTTTTAAATTAATTAATTAATTAATTACCAATTTCATTCTCTTTAGTTAAATAAATTAATAATAAAAATATTAAAATAAAATAATTATTCATTTTTTAAAATTAAAAATAAATTCATATTTAATTATTTAATTATTTTTATATACATGTCCAATACTCTTATAAACTTTTAAAGTGCAAAATTTCTTAATTATTATTTTGTAATAATTTTATTTTTCTTTTTAAAAATAAACAAATTATTTCAAAAATTGTCTAAAAATTATTTCCTCTAAATTATATTTTACGAAAAAATATCCTATGAGAATTTTCTTTTAATTTTTTTCTTCTTTTGAGGCCTCTAATATTTTTTATATATTATTTTTTAAATAAATTTTTAATTTAAAAAAAGATGGAGAGCCGTGTATACAACCATTATCTGAAGGTGAAGGAAATTCCAAACTTGAACGTTTTTATTTTGATTCAATAAAACGTCGTTGTCGCCCATTTATTTATCGTGGAGCTTTGGGAAATGCTAATAATTTTTTGTTTGAAAATGATTGTGAATATGTTTGTTCTGGTAATTATTTGGAAATTTGAAATTAATTTGGAAGGAATTAAGGGCATTTTTTGGTCAAAAAATAAAAAGAGAATATACTTATTTTTGATTTTTTCACACTTTAGTTGTCCAAATCTTGGAGAGGAAACAATTGTGCCTCTTACATGAAAGTATATCTAAGACTGGGGTTATTGTTTAGGTAACCCCCTCTCCCCCTCCAAGTGGCTAACAAAATTAAAAAAACATCTTAAATTAAGGGCTTTTAGTTGTAGGTCTACATACTTAGTAATGAAAAACTTAAAATAAAAAAAACTTTAAATTTTCCAAAAATTTTTATTTTTCTTTTCAAAGCATTTATCCATCCAAATCCCTGTTCTCACGGCCATCCTCTACCTATAGATGAATATAATAACAACCAACCCTTAGTTTGTGGCAATAGTGAATTGATTGATTTTAGTTTATCCGATGCTTCTTTAATATCTTCTGGATGCCCTAGTGGTTATTGGTGTCATGTTGGTTCTTCTCCAGACACCACAAATTGTTGTCCACATACACCTACTATGTCTGGTAAATAATATTTTTCTAAATTCCCCCATTATTTCTCATTAGTTAATTTAATCCTATTAATTAAAGGCAGTAACAATAATGTTTGTGATTTAAAATTGGAATTGGGTAATGGGACGGAAAGACTCGACCGTTGGTATTTTGATTCTTCAGTTCGAAAATGCCGTCGGTTTTGGTATACAGGTACTTGAAAGATTAATTTTTATAGAAACCCCTCTATATAAAATAATTTCATTATAATAGACATTTGTTGTTTAACTTAACTTTGGGTCACCCTAATAATTCCTCATTTTTCCCTAATTTCTCAACAAATTTTTACGTCTCAAAAGTTTAAGGACATATCACATGACTGTTAAACAAAAAAATATTTCAAAAAATAAATTTTTTTAATTAAAAAAAAGGTCTAAAAGGAAATAGAAATAATTTCCTTTCACGTGAACATTGTCAACAAATATGTGAAGATAATACAAATATTTTAATACCTGATGATATTTTACAACAACAGGGGCAAATTAATGGAAAATGGTTACCAAAAATTTTATTTTCTAAAAAAAGAAATTTTTGTTTGCGAGGAGAGCCTTTAATTAATTCTTTTGATGGAAATTTAATAAAATGTGGAAGAGAAGAAAAAGAAGGGGAAAATGATAAAGAGGATGGAGAAGATATTGAGAATAATAATAATTGCCCTAATACCCATTATTGCCATATTGGGAATTCTATTGAAGAGAGTGGTTGTTGCCTTAAATCTGGTAATTTATTCTTTAAACTTTAAAATGATTGAAAAAATTGTCCACAAATCAATCCACAATAGAGCCCAAACCTGAAGGATTGCGAGATCGATATTTCAGAAATCCCCAATAATATAGGTAGATTTTTGGATGAGATATCTTGTCTCATTCACATCTCTTATCCATAAGGCAACAAAAATTGTTTAAAAAAATCTGTCATTTTCTAATAATTCTTATTTAACTCTCTCTTACTGCCCAATCCTCTTTATTAGATTTTTCTTTCCCCTTTTCCCTATAATTCCGTTCTAAATTTCAAAGTTTCAAAAATATTTAAATAGCTTTAACATAATTATAATTAGTAAAAACATTTTAATCAAACTCCCTCTAAGGAATTGATCATTGTCTTCTTCCATTAAATAGAGGAGTAAATACTGGACAATGGCAAGTTCGTTGGCATTTTAATGTTGCAACTGGTAATTGTGAAGTATTTGATTATGCCGGGATTAGAGGAAATGAAAATAATTTTCTTTCAAAAAAACAATGCGAAAAATCTTGTATTGAGAATAAAAAAAGTAAAAAAAATATTTAAATTAAAAGAAATTTAATTTATTTAGATAAAAAGCTTTGTCCACATGGGGAACCTAAATTAGAAAGTAATGGAAGAACTTTAGAACATAAACAGTGTGGATTAAATTCTTCTGTTAATACAGACTGTGGAGAGGGATTTTTGTGTCATTTAAACACTGAAGGGGAAATTGGGATTTGTTGTGAGGTAATTTGTGGGGGGAAATTACTAAATATTTATTTGAAAGGGGAAAATAATCCATGTCTTTTTTTATCAGAATATTTTGATGGGTTTAGGTCGACTTTAATTTCAACCTTTAAGTAAAAACTTCTATTTACTCCACTTATTTTGATTAATTCAAATTTTAAGCCAGACAAGAAATGTTTTTCAAAATTTCATAAATAATTCTGATCAATTACGATAATAGAAAACATATTGTTCAATTATCAAAGTCCCTCAAATAATTACCCCACCTGCTTTTATTACCCCCTCCAGCGAGAGATCGAAACAATAATTACCCAGGGTAATTAATACAGCATATTTTAAAATATATTTAAATATATTTAAAACAAAAATATTAAAACATTATTTATAGGACCCATCTTATTTTTGTCTTCAACCAAGAGACCCAGGGCATTGTAATGAAAACCAAATCCGTTATGGCTATAATCCAATGACTGATACTTGTGTTAGTTATAGGTATAGCGGCTGTGGTGGAACTCTAAATAAATTTGAGACTTTTAAGAATTGTAAAGAAATTTGTTGTAGACAATATATAAAAAAGAATAAAATTAGGTGATTTTAAAGAGATAATGTTTTTTGTATTTTTTAAAATTTTCTCATATTTATTTAAGACATAGTTAACTCTTGTTAATATATAAGGGCAAATAGCCAGAAATATTCCAAATTAAAAAATGCCAGATTTAGGTTCAACCAACCATTCAATTTGAAATTAAGGAACTCAAAGTCCTCATAATTAGAATTTGTTCTTCAAGCCTAGTAATAAAGGAAGGGAGGGATAAGGCACTTAAGATCAGCTGGCTATTTACCCTTTTAAATCTCAAATACTTCTTCATAACCTAAATCAACTGCATTTTATTTGTTTTATTTTCGAAATACTCCTACTTGCAATAATAATTTTTCTAATTTTTAATTTATTCAAATAAGATTAAAATAAAATATTCAAGTATCTTCTCATTTATTCGTTCATTTTTACTTTAAAATAATAAAAAAAATTAAAATATGTAATTACAATAATATTTTCTATAAGGCACTTAAAAATAAATTTAATTTTTTCGTTCGAATATAGGCAACAGAATCATAATATAGGATTTAATGAGATAATGAAAATAAAAAAATGCTTTAAAATTGTGAGGCAAAAAATATACAAAACTAAATTAAAAAATATTTTCACATAATAAATTTTAAATTAGGGTTAAACCCTTCGATAAGTCAATAAAGGTTTCTGTTTTTGTAGTCCACCAATCAAATATATTAAAACCCCAATCTCAATTAATTGAGTGTTTCAAGAAAGATTCACCCCGGAACTAGATAGACACATATATAGTGTCACAATTCTTGTCCCAAAAAAGTTCGTCTTAAAGTAATATTTGAGAAGGGTTCGATAATTCAATAAAAAAGTTTCCTCCCCTAATTTCCTTTCATTAATTTATTTAATTTAACCCTAATTTCCAAGACGAGAATTTTTTGAAGTAAAAAAACTATTTAAGAATCATGCATAAATTTCTGATAATCTTTACATTGAGCTCTAAGTTGTCTTAAAATTAAATCACAAAAATCAGTTGGAAGTAAAGTTAAATTAATTTCCGTTCCTTTTTGTAATAAATCTATTCTTTTAAAAAATTGTTCATTTTTAGAATATAAACTTAAAGGAATTCCATTTAATTCAGTAATTATTGCTGGGACTGTTCTTTCTTCAATTTGTTTAGTATTTTGACTATTTGTTGGTTCGGGAATATAAAAATAAGAAGGGAGAGAATCTGGTATAGAAGCTAAATAAGCTGGTGAACCTTTTATTATTGAAGAAATCTGAAAAATAAATTTTAAAAAAATTTATAATTTTATAAATTATAGAAATAAAAGGTTAATATCCTCTCCCGAACAAATAGGAAATAGAAGCCTTCCCAATTCAATCCCTAGCAAATTTTTTCATACCCAAAGTTTTAGTTTTGTTGGACACAAAGCAAATCACCGTATTTTTCCAAATACAGCTCCATGGGGCTGTATTTTTCAACTATCCTCCAGACTGGGGCTGTATTAGGGAGTGGGGCTCTAATTAAAAATGGGGCTTTATTTGGAAAATTACGGTAAATTAAATTTAATAACCCGATCGAAAATTAAATTTCAAACTCTAAGTAGATATCTCAAAAGATTTCAAAAAAATTTCGATAATAAAAAAAATTTAAAACTACCTTATTTTTCTTTTTATGTAATACAATGCCCAAATCCTTCCCATTTTCACTTTCCTTCTTTAACGTGTAAATTTGTGCATTAAAATTAGGTTTAATAACCAATTCAATCTTTAAGAAATATTTTAAATAAATTTTTAAAAATAATTTTACAGGAATTCCAGGTGTAGAATTTGTATATATTTCTGGTAATTGTTTAACACTATAAATTGTAATACCAGCAACTTGGCATAATTCATCTCCAAAATGTAAAATATTTTGTAAAGATTTGTCTGCTATAGGTTTCCATCCAGCCATTCTAATAAAAAAATTTTAATTTTAAAATAAATAGGAAAATTAAAGAAAAAAATTATATTAGTAGTAGAAGATAGTTAGTAGAACTCAAGTTAAAGAGGGTGTTATAAAAGAAATAATTACGGTTTACGCCACGCCACACAACCAAGAAAATTTTTCGAAATAGAGGCCAGGTTAGGGAAGAATATTTATAAAAGTGTTTCAACTTCTAAACGAAGTAAAAACTCTAAAAATATAAAATTAAAATAAGACCAAAAGAAAAATGCAGAATAGGCCAATAAGAAACACCAAAATATAGCACCATAAAAAACAAATAAATTAACAAAATTAAACCTCCCCTCCCCCAACAAAAAAAATTAATTTTCAAAAGGAAAACTCACAAAACTTTTCCTTTCCAATCAACAAAAATAACATTATCAGCTAAAATACCCAAAGAAAGATGTACACGCTTAGTTTGTGTTAAATTTTGTTGAAAAATATTTTCAGAAAAAGAAATTGTTTGGTACAATTCCTTTCTTTTATTTGGAACCAAAACATCATATTGATGAATATTTTTAGAATAAAATTTTTTATTATTATTTTCTTCTTCAATACTGCTCCGAACAGAATTTGAAGTTGTTGTTATTGTTGAGGAAGAAGTATGGGATAAACGTTGATTGTAAATATTACCTCCATTTGGTTGTTTTTTAGACGTTGAATTTGTAATTGTTTTTTGAATTACAAAATCTCTTCAAAAAATATTTTTAATTAAAAATATTTTTCTTTAAATTAATTACCCCGATAAACGTGACAATTGTTGATATTGATGGGTAGGACTTAATTGAGAATATTGTGAACGATTAAAAGGGGTTGTTTCTTCAGAAGATGAAGCAAGGTTCTGAAAAATATATAAATAGAAAATGTAAAGAAATCTGTATCATAAAAATCCAAATAAACTGTTAGAATATCTCAAAAAAATTTAATAGAAAATAATCTTACTTATGGCCTAATTCTTTTCTTATTTAGCATATCTTCACCTCCCAAACTTTAATTTATATACCCACTTAATAATGATTAAAATCTTTTATATTCTATTAAAATTCACCGTTGGCGTTTTTGGTGGAGAACAAGGAATTGGTGAACTTGGCAATATTGGGGGATTATATGTCGTTTGTTGAGAATTATTATTAACGGAAGTTGACTGTTGTTCTGACAAATCTCCTTTTAATGTATGTTGACGTGGGGGCAATGGAGGAGGGGAACGGTTATCATCAACTTCATTATCAATTGTCTGTTCCTCTCTAATGTCAAGTTGAGGACTAAGAAAAATAAATTTATAAGAAAATAATTAAATGTTTAGTCATCCCACGCAAATTACACAGACCCTATTAGTTCCAAAAATAAAATATAAAAAAACGTAGCTATGCTTCCACAAAAATTTTTTCGGCTAAGGGTCTAATTTCTTCAAGGAAAAAATTGAGGCCATTTAAAAAAATAGAGATCGGACGAAGGGGTCGATCGGTATTTTTTGATAAATATCGAAAAAAAATCATATCGATCCGATCTCTAAAAAATTGTTAAAAGAGATTATCTAAAATAATGCTCAAATATTTTATCGACTCTGTTAATATTTGAATTCCCTCCCCATAAACTCCTATTTCCTTATTAAAAAATTTTTTAACCCCCTAAACCTCAAAAATATTTTCTTTTCAAAATTTTAATTTTTAAACAATTAAAATTACTATATACTTGATTAAATTGTGTTTAACAAAAGAATTATTAAAAGGATGTGATTGTTGTCGTTGTAAAGAATTAAAAAAATTATTTCTTTGATTTGCAGGTAAATTACGTCGAAGACTTGCACTTTGCCATTGTGGGGTTGAAATAAATAAATTATTTGATGGAGGTGAAGAATTAAAAGTAATTGGTGTATTTAATGAATATTTGTGAAAATTTGATGTTGAAGCAATTTGCTGGAAAGAAAAATTTTTAAATGGAATAAAAAATAAATTTTAAAAATAAAAATTTTTATTTTTGAATAAAAAATAAAAATTTTTTTTGGAAAACTAATCTTTCCCTTTCTCAAAAATAATTTTTCTAGGTCCTGAAAAGTTAATTTGTGATATAAACAATGGAGTCGGAATTTTTACAATTTTCCCCCTACCCCCCTGGCTACGGTTGGCCCGAAAATTCTTTTAAAGGAACCTTAAAAAATTATAAAACCCATTAAACACAATCCAACCATTTCATCCAAAAATTAAATTCTCAAAAAAATTTCTTAGGATTACCCAATATTTTTTTAATTATTTTAAATTCAATAAAAAATTTATTTACCAAAGGCATTCGATTAGAAGAATTATTTGTAATAATTCTATTAAATATATTTTCATTTTTTGGTTGTTTATTTTCTTCTTCCATTTCATTCATTGCAATATATAAATTCTCTTTACGAGGCACATTACCTCCCCCATTTAATTGTTGATTATTAATATCATCTTCTAATGGCAAAAGACAATTTAAACGACTCAAAGTTTCTGTTATTTTAGTAACCCATTGTCTTCGCTCTTCTCTTAAATTAAAAAAAATTTAAATGAATTTTTAATTAATTTGTGTATTTTTATACGGAGAATTAAAAGGAAAAAGTTAATTCTAGAAATAGAGCTAATTTTTTGAAGGATTATTAAGAATAAATAAATATAAAAATTCCTATATTTTTATATTAATCCACGCAAGCCATCTTATGTATTTAAAAAATAAAATAAAAACGCAGATATGACTCATATAAATTTTTTATCGGGTATTAGATCTATTAGATCTGCTTTAGTCTGTTTTTAACCCCGTAAACTTTAGAAATATTTTTCTAATTTTTAAACAATTAAAATTAATATGTATATACTTGATTAAATCTCGATTAATTTAAAAAATAGAAAAATTACGGTTATCGCCTCTCAAAATTTAAAATGAAACAAAAAGAATAGAAATTCAAGTCCCTATCCCGTTAAAATTCCCCCTTGGGAATAAATTCTGTAAAAGTCAATCTACATATCATCCCCCAGTTCCCAAATTATTAACTAAAAAATCCAAACATTGTAGGGCAATGCAATTCTAATATCGGCCTATTTTTGTCAGTAAATCCAATAACAAAAGTTCTTTCTTCTCCAATCGATACATTTACATATTGACAATCTAATAAGTCTAAAAATTAATTTAAAAATCTTTTAAAAATAAATTTTAAAAAACCTTGTACTTTTATAGGATTATGTTCGCAAACATTTTTAAGGTCTGAATACCATTCTAAATGCGGAATTCCACATATCCCTCCCTCATGAACACAAAGAACTACCCATAACTCATCCTCGTAAATTGTCTTCTAAAAAGGAAATCTTTGAAAATTAAATTTTAGAAAAAAATATCCAGAAATTAACAATCTATTAGAGTATAGACTTTTTAAGTTTGGTCGAAAGAAATGAGGCATAGAAAACTGGAAACAAAAAATAATTTGCAACCTAATTTAAAAATCAGAGAGCTTTTATTGTTAGCAATTTTAACTCTCAAATTATCACAGCGTCCAATCTTAACGAGTTTTTCATGGCAAATACTCTTTCGACCCATTTTCGAAATATTTTTACATTTTTAAAGGTTTTCTTAAATTTTCATTCGTTAAAGAATATTCAAAATAACTTTTAAAAAAATTATAAAACAAAAAAAATTTACCTTTCTTCTCAACAGAATTCCACATTTTCTAACAACTTTTTGTTGTAATTGTCCTTTAAAAATAATTTCTCGTTTTTGGTTTTGAGGGGTTGTCATTTATTTATTTTGTAAAATAAATTGTTAAATTGTTTTATAAATGCATTGAGAAGTTGCTGCCTGAAAAGTAGTAAACTTTTAAAATTAAAAAAAATTCATGGAAAAAGATGAATCATAAAGAGAAAATGATTAATTATATTTATTAGATTGTTTAAGAAATAATATAATTAAAAAATGTTAACTTTATAAAAAACAATTAGGGGTTAAATGTGAGCTAAACAGAAAATCAAGCCTTTGGAAAATAAATAATTGATAATGGACCCGGTACAAAATATCGTAGATCAAAACGTCATTTCAACAAAATATCGTTTCATTCAAGGCAATGCAAAAACTAGCGAGCAACAAAGCGGATGCGACCAAATGCTCGCGTCAATGTGTCCATTCCGGAAGCAACATGGACATTAGAGTATATATTCGCTATATATTAGAATATATATTCGCTACTAAAAATACACGGCGGTCGACCGATGTTTTAAGGCACATTGAGAAACGAAAATAAAGAAGTGACGAATGAGGAAATGGTACATATATAAGAAAATTGAATGGGTTAAGGAAAGAAAAATGGACGCAAAAGGCGTTTGGGGAACGAGTGGAGGGGGTTGGGGACACAAAATGAGATGGCCGTTGGGGAGAAAGCAGTGTGTATACGAGTTCGGAATTTCTCGATGGACAGCTATTCAATCTTCTTTTTGTGTCTCCTTTAAAGTTAAAATAGGTCAAAGTCTACGGGAAAAACTAAAGGTTTTTCTAAGATTGGAGAGATTTTTGAAATTGAGAAAATCACGGATTGTTTCATTACTGTAAGACAAACTTGATTTAAAAAAATGGAAGAATACAGAACACTAGAAAGTGAAGGGAAACTCTCAAAGTCACGTAAAGAGGTAGGCGGAGACCAGGAAAGTTTGATACAAAATTAGAGAGATTATGATTTTTAAAATTCTCTCTCAAAATAAAAATTGAAAGCCTACAAATATAAAATAAGTAATTCAAAATTTATCAAAACAAGTGTCTATAAAAATTCTAAAAATATAAAAAGCTTCCTAAAAATGGACAACAAAACAAAAGTATTAGGCGGGCACTAACACGGAGAGACGCTGGACGGCCATGAAATAGCCGCCACATTGAATGAGTGAAAAAAGGAAAGAAATGGACAGATGAGAAGAAAATCTTCGAATGGTCGGCAAAGTATAGGCAACGGCTGCCTTGTAATTGGGGATGAAAAGGTTCGAAAAGAAAGCGAACAGCGGGTGGAGGGAAGGGGCGGATATACTAAAAGAAAAGAAGCATCTACTAGACTTAAACCCCCTTCCCCTTTTTTTCGTGCCCGACGTCCGCCATTCAACGGTCGACGCCATTCTTTTAAAACCAAAACAAGTCGGTGGTAGTGCCGAGTAGAGGAGGGAAATCAGGCAAAAAAGAAGGAGGAAAAAGGCCATTTGGTACTTTTTATTTATAAGCATATATCTTCTCTCCTAGCTAAGCTAGCCATTGGCCAAAGAGGGAAAGAAAGAAATGCTCTAAAAACTAGCCATCTTTTTTATAATCAATTTTTTCTCGGACAGCCATTCCAAGCATTTTAACACTTTCCTTCTCCCCAATGTGTGTGTTCGTTACTTAATTTTAAAGACAGAAAAGGAAGAAGAAATGGACAACAAATGTTTGTGGATTGTTTTTGAGTTCGGTTAAAACAAGGAAAACTTTTATAAAATAAATGAATGTCCAGTTAAATAAAAACTTTTTTTTTGTTTTGAAGATTGTACGAATTTTTATTTTATTTTTTTAGTCTTGAGAAGTTATAGTAATTTTTAAAATGAATTTTAAAATTATTTGGAACTGAGGGATTAGAAAGTTGTGAACAAAAATAAAGGAAAGAAAAATTATTTATTAAGGTTATTTACCTATAGTAAATGAGATTATTGTTAGATACTAGAGATCGAGATTTTTGTAAAGCCAGGACCTGTTCCTGGACTCTGGGGTTTGATTTATTGACCTGGACCGGATCCTGGGCCTATAGTCTAGGAAAAACCCAGGAAGCATAAAAAATACCTGGGCCCGGACTCTGGGCAAAGGAAAAACCCAGGCCTTGGTCCAGCTCGATCTTTATTAGATACACAAGACAATTTGCAAAATCCTAAAAACTAAAAACAGGAATAGTGGAAAGAGTTGAACTCTTCTCGAACGAAGCCACGAGAAAGACCCAGCAAAAGAATACCAAAAAAATCAGCAAATAGCCATAGCAAGATCAGAAAAAATTTTTCTTTTACTTATTAAGGATAAAACTTATAAAAAGGCAATCAAATAATTTTATCATTTTTAAAATAAAAAAGTCAAAGTTTCTTCTTTACTTTACCACCCATAAATCTCTTCTTTTTTATGTACTAAATAAACGTAATTTTTGCGTGTTGAAAGTAAAAAATAATTTTTTAAAAGGAAAAATAATTTATTTGCGTGACTTTTTGAAATAAACAAAAAAATTTTTGACATTTTCTTTTAAAAAAAATTTTTAGTAAATTTAAAAGTAAAAATAAATAAATATATAATTTATATATTTTTAGTTTTGACGGCTGACAGTTTAAAAGATCACGCAATTGTGACAAAATAAAAAAGGAGGGGAAAGAGGGGGGGGGGAGAAGTAAGTGCCCACAAATGGATAATAAATAAATAAAAGCTAGAGAGCATCTTCTCTTTATTTTCGCAATTTTAAATTTATGGACAAAAATAATGGATATAGTGTAGTGTACCGGTGGTAAAAGTTCGGGACGTGACATATGTCATTCGATTCGTCTCGACGAGCTGAGTCGAATGGTACCACTCCCTACTTTAGGAAATGATTCTGGGCCGAGTTATAGGTCCCGAAAAATTGAAAAACCATAGGGGGGAGTAAGCTCGATTTTGGGGTGAAAAATTCGAATATGCAAATAATAGCTCTTTCGAAAGAGCTCGTCGAGCTGAGTCGAATGACACCAAAATCAGCTTGATTGTAAAAGTTTGGACAAAGTTACAATCGAAAAACTAACAGCATAAAAACTAACAGCATACTAACAGCATATGGGGCGTCGGCGAGGCGCTTGTGCAAAACCCCGCGCTTCGCGCGGGGTTTTGCGGCACGCGCCTCGCGGGGAGTCTACGGGCGTTGGGTCTGGGCTCGTAACATAAACCTAGTCCCATCTCCCTTGCTCTGGATGTACTTGGGGCTCCAGTACCAGCAAAAACCTCCACGGGCGCCATAGGTAAGGAGCTAAAACAAACGAGCATAACTTTGTCAAATCAAGTCAGATTTCGTTGATTTTGGTATCATTCGACTCGGCTCGACGAGCTCTTTCGAATGAGGTATAATTTGTATATTCGAATTTTTTACCCCAAAAAAGTGCTTGGTCCCCCCTTTGGTTTTTCAATTTTTCGGGATCTATAACTCGGCCCAGAATCATTTCCTAAAGTAGAGAGTGGTACCATTCGACTCAGCTCGTCGAGACAAATCGAATGACATATGTCACATCCCGAACTTTTACCACCGGTACACTACACTACAGCCAAAATAATTGTTTAAGAAAAGGTTTTAAATAAATAAATTTTTAAAAAAAAATTATTTAAAAAAATAAAAATTAAATAATAAAAATAACACGCAATAAAACGTAAAAATTACATAATAATATAATGTCTTTTAATAATTAAAAAAATATAATTTTTTTCAAAAATTGTGTCAATAAATTGTGTTTTAAGGAAAAATAAAAATTGACAAAAAATAATTTAGAAAAGTAAATTTAATAAAAATTAGAATTTTGAGTTGGAATATTACCAAAAATTAATTAATTATTTAATTAATTTATATTTTGTTTTAATTGTTTAACTCCTTTTGGTCTGTTTTGTAGGCAAGGAACTACTATGCTTAATAACCCAAGAGTTTGGAGTCTCTTAGTAAACCAGCCTTTCGGGAATGGAAGAAAATCTCATCCGAGATGGTCCAAACTTTTGCCCAAGATTTTTCCAGACGCCTTCGGCTCTGTATTCAAGCAAAGGGTGGGTGCTTCGAAAATTCTTGATTATTTTTGTTCCTTATTTAATTCTCTATCATTTAAGCTTTATTTGAACTCAATATCTTAGAGTTGAATAAAGAAATGGCATAAATAATGTGCCCTAAAAATTTTCTTGTCACTTTGTAGAATTAATTTGTTAAAAACCCTTTAAATATTTTATTTTAAAATTTCAGATTTAGAAAAAAAATTAAAAATAGTCTTTTATTCTTTTACAAATTAGAGATACCTTAACTAAATTCAACCGAATAATTGAGTGAATTGTTTGTGTGATAAATTTAAATAATTATTTTTTCCTAACTGATAAAACAATGAAATATTTAATTTACTATATTTATTAACCTTTTAAAAATCTCCTCCCAAAATTTTTCTACAAAAAGTGAAAATGAAAGGATTTTTTAAAAAGTAATGGCCAAAAAAAGAGAGAGAGGAGATAATCTTCCCTTCGTCCGTAAAAAATAAAAAGAACTTCCAAAGTTTTTCTCTTTTAAAAATGAATGTCCGACCGACTTTTTGTTGCTGCGCACGCTATTTACAGTTAGGTAAAGTAAACAAAAAAGTAAAGAAAATGAAAGAGAAATGAATGGGTCAAGAATTGAGAAAAGAATAAATAAATAACTATTTTTGGATTTTTTTGGAAAAGTCTTGAAGCTTTATTTAATGGAAAAGTACAAAGAAATAATTTGAAGAATAGGACAAAGTAAAAGAAAAATTGAGAAAATTCTGTAGAAGAAAGTGCAGATTTTATAAAGTCTGATTTAAACAATAAATTTAATGTCAACATTGTAGTATATTTTAAATTTTAAAATTGTGTTGGATCCATAACAGGAAAATCCCATGATTCGATTTTCAAAAATATTTAAATTTCGGTTGAGGCGAAAAAGGATTTTTTGGATTGTGAGAACTGCGACTGTTTATAAAATATAAGAGTTAGGCTTTTCAAATTTCCAGGCCCCAAATCAGGGTTTTTTTAAAAATACATGGATCCGGATCGAATTTTAATGCTAAACTCTAATAACAAATTATATGTAAAATTCTTTCATAAATCAGAAGGATGGGTCAAGATATTCTTTTTCAAGTCAGTTACTTTAAGGAAAAAAATTTTTTATCCCCCCCCCCCCTCTTGTTAAAAAATAAAAGTTTTTTAAAAGAAAATTAAGATAAATTTTAAAAATTAAAAGAAAAGAACAGTAGTATTTATGATAGAAACAATTTTCATCTCAAAAAAATTTTCTTCGGGTGTGAGTGACACGCCTTTCCACAACGCGCGTCTTCAGAGTAAAAGTGAATAAAAAACGCAGCTTTTTTGAGGACCGGTCAGTAGTCAAACAATTTTTTGTTTTCTTTGGCCAAAAATAAAATAAATAAATATATATACTTTTACTTTTAAAAAGTTTAAATAGAAAAGGGAAAAAAACGCAAAAAAAAAATCAGGACAGATCGCGCGGCGTCCTAAAAAAGGTTCTCTCCTCTCTTTTATTTTCTTTCAATTCTCGTTGATAAAAATAGAATATCCAACGTTTACATAAGTAAATATAAAAGAAAAAAATTAGGAAAAAAGAAAGGCCGAGAGCAAATAAAATAAAAATATTTGCGGCCATCGTCCGAGAAGCGCAAAAGAAAAAACTGAAGAAATTGAAAAAAAGTAAAATAACTTTTTTGTTGAAAATTAGCCGTGGTGTCCACTTTTGCATTTTTATTAAAGGAATTTGTTAAATTATTTAAATAGTGTTTGGAATAAAATTATAAATAATGGCAGTCGGACCTCAACTTTGAGAGTTGAATCATAAATTTTTCAATGAAAAAATTCTAGTCATAATTTCAAAATCTCAATGAAAAAATTCTTCTCACTTTTCTTTGTGAGAAGAGGGCCGGCTGCGACTGTCATTCAAAATATTTTAAATTTTTTGCGAAATTTTTTTAAATTTTGTTATGTTCGGTCACTACATATTTCTCGTTATACCATTTTAAGTATTTCTCGGTCAAAAAAGCTTAGAAATATTATTTTATTCAAAAATAATTATTATTTGGCTGGCACAGATATATTTATAAACTCTTAAAAAATATAAAAGCGTGAATTTGTGCCATTTGGTGAAAGGAAACGGAAAAATAAAGAAAAGAAGAACGCGTGTTTGAGTTGCTTATTTTTCTTTTTTTTTTTTGATGGTGGGAAGGTTTCATGGCACGATTGAAGAAATGTTTTTTATTGAAAAGGAAAAATGAATGAAAGATGGCACAAAAAATAAAAGAAAGCTAAGTGAAAAGACTAATAAAAGACTAAAGATTTAAAAATAAAAGCGTAAAAATTAAAAAAATATTTTTAATGGTTCATAATTTAGAGAAAAAATGTCGAAAAAAGTGAAAAAATATTCCCAACTTTCTGATCGTTGCTCTCAAGCGTAAAAAAGCGCTGCTATTTTTACTTTCTCTTAAATTTTACTTTAAAAAGTCGGCACAAAACAAGGGAGAAGAATAATATTTTTTAAATAAAATTTTTTTTAAAAAAAACCAACGGTCATTCGTTGACAGCCAAAAAAATTTTATTAGAAAAATAGAATGGAAAGGATATTTAAATCTTGTGCCGAAAGTCAAAGAAAACCACCCCTCCTTTATCTAACAACCTGTCGGAAGAAATTGTAAAAAATATAAAAAAATAAATCTCAAAAATGTTTTACTCGTTACCGCTAGGAAAAAACAAATTTCATAGCGAAAAAAATTATAAGAAATAATTATTTTTTTATAAATTACATAAAGAGAAATTTTTTTATGAGAAATGATTATAAAGGAATAAAACTATTTGGTCATTCGAGGTGTTTTTCGAACACTGCTACATAAATAAAACAGTTTTTCTAACGCATAAAAAGATGTAGCCGTTTTTAGGTAAGTTTTTAGATTTTATTAAAAAGAGCTTGTCGAGCAAAGTATAAATTATAAATATCCTTTGCTCGACAAACTCTTTTTGATGAGCATTACCTAAAACAAATTTGAGGTCGTGGATTACCCTTAAAAATTCAGCACGTTTTATTTTATAAGAAAAACTTGATTTTTGGCAACACTCCTAACTTTAATAGATAATAAACCCCAAAGATATTTCTTTATAAAAATTCTCTATATCTCACAAACATCAAAACTCGATTTTTAACAAACAATAGGCATATGAGATAAAAACTCACAAAAAAAATCAAAAGACAAGATTAAGCGGTAAGTCGAGTGCAACATAAAATACTGTCCTTATAAGAAATCAATTCAGTCAGTTGCTTCATCAAAACCAATCCAGAGCGTTGGCGTGGAATCATATCAGGAAAGAAGCGCCTTTTTAAAAGGAATAATACTTAAAAATTTCAAAAAAAAGTTTACTTCATTGCCATAAAATTGTTCCTTCCACGCTTAGCCAACTCGTCAGCTTGATAAATCGGTTCAGGAAGAGAAATGGCCGAATTTACAATTTGATGAGAGTAGCAAAGTCCGTTCAAAAAACCCTGAAGTTCATCTTGAGTCATTCCAATTTCATCAAGAAGAACACTATACTCAACAGGTTTACCAGTTCCCTGAAAATCATTTTAAATTTTGATAATAAAAAAATCTACTGTTACTTTAATTGGAAAATGCGATTGCATAAAGAATTCTGGCAATTCAGGGCGAACAATTTTCTCATTAATGACAGAGCCTGGAGTAAGATTCACAATTTTGTCTTCATGAACCATAAAGAATTTTTTGAAATGGCGCTTTGTGCCGACAACAAACATAAACTTTGGCTTATAATTTTCATCATAATGTAGACACCCAATTTTGAAAGCTTCCAATTCCTCCTCAACAGCCTAAATTTTATAGATTAATAGAAAATTTAGAAAAAAAAGAACATTCCATCTTATGTTAAAAAATTAGAATTTAAATAAAAATTCTTATAGAAAAGCAAACAAACCATTTTATATTGGCCCTCAGAAACACCATCACGAAGAACCATAATATACTTAGGACGAGCATGCTCAGGACGATTATGTTCAAGTGTTGTCAAAATCCAAGTAACTCTTTCCGCCAATTGCCCAATATCAACAGACTCTCTACGTGATTCTTGATAAAAATAGTCGCCAACAAAATTATGAGGATTCTTTGCCATATTAGCACAAATCTAAAAAAATTTAATAAGAATGTACAATCAATACAAAAAACATACCCCCACAACAGAAGGATCAAAAGATTCACAAGTTAATCCTTTAACCTGCATCATACGTCTCTCTTGATGGGTAGCCGCAGGTGGATGGGAAACATCATAACCAACCACCAAAATTTTTCCCTTATCAAAGGAAAAGCGCTCAGCAGATCGTTCAAAAAGCGGAACGTAGTTGAGTCCAAAATTTTTGCAGTTGACCTTGTGAATAATGTTCTCCAATGTTTGTGCTTTTCCATGAGTAACAACATCCTTTGCCCGTTCCAGTGTAATATGTTGCGTGACAATCTTGTAATAAGCTTCATAATATTTGAGCAATCCGTGAGTGTCCTCTGTCTTATTATCAATCAACCTGAATGAAGATATTAATTTTTCAAACGTGAAAAGGGGCAAACATGATAAATTCAATATTACGGTTCACACAACGTTCAAACATGTCTGGCCAACCACGGTTGCTTGGTGTAAATGGCATTATTGGAGGCCTGTTGGAAAGGATCATTCCCTTCTTTCGAGCAGCAGCAACCAAAGTATCAACAAATTTACCAACCAAGACCGAGCTACGAGCATCACACAAAACAATCCAATTGCAAATTTCATGAGTTTCATAATATTGATGTTGACCACTTGCTTTACGCCAATCAGCCTAAAAAAATAAATAGGAAGTTTCTTACAAGGGAACATTTCGAACTGTGAGTATAAAGTTCGAAATAAAAGTTATACCATCGTGTAGAGCATCGTCGAAAACCTTTATGGTTTCCGGCTTTTTCGGCTCCGACCCCCATTTCGAAAAGTTATAGGTCTTCAAAGTTTTCGATTTTTGGAGCGGTTGAGTCGCCCTCATAAAGAGAGAGTTTTCTTTTATTAGGAGAGAAATAAGGCTCCCATCCTCCTTTTTTCCTTTCCTTTTCTTTTACAATATTAGTTAAAGAAAGAGAAAAGGAGGAGAGAAAAGAAAAGGAAAAGAGGCATCTCTGCCTTGTAGCTAATGTCAATTAAAAAGGAAAGATGAGATGGCAGACATGCCTCTTTTCCTTTTCTTTCCTCTCCTCTTTTTCTCTTTCTTTAACCGACATGGGAAAAGAAGAAGAAAGGAAAAATGGAGAAAAGGAGTCTCATTTTTCTCTTTGGTAAGACAAATAATAAGAAAAGTGAGGGCGACTCAACCGCTCCAAAAATCGAAAACTTTGAAGACCTATAACTTTTCGAAATGGGGGTCGGAGCCGAAAAAGCCGGAAACCATAAAGGTTTTCGACGATGCTCTACACGATGGTATAACTTTTATTTCGAACTTTTTACTCACAGTTCGAAATGTTCCCTTGTTAGAAAAATTTCACCTGATCAGGAGACGGTGTCACAATTTGATTATTTGCATAACGAATTCGAGGACTCGATCGAACACCAATCACAATTCTATTTGAAGTAACATCAACAGAAATGCCAAAAGCACGGAGTACAGCATTAGTTTGATCAAAAACGCCCATTTCATTAGCATGTCGTATAATTTTGTCAAAACGTTCTTGTGGAAGAATAGAATTGGCCTAAATAGAGTCCAATTTAAATTTACATTAAAAATTTAACAAACAGATAAAAGCCTCGAAGTTAAATTTTTGTCTAGCTTTTCCATTGGCAGACGCTGATCTTCCATAATTATCAATTGTTCAACGGGAAAAAGCTCAGTTTGACGTCCTTTTGGAACTGGAGTGTTCGGCATGACAGCAGGAAAATGAGGGAATTCTAAAGTAATTCCATAACGACGTTGAAAATAAATATGCATTGGAAGCTTCTTTCCTTGATAGGAACACCTAAGAAAATTAGGGAAAATTTTATAAAATAAAGAAAACAAACATGGTCTCAGACATGGGCCTGTCCATGAAACGCCCAAGAGCAAAAGTACGGTGGCGAGCATAAGCAACCTCAACACGAACATCACCCAAAATTGCGCGGATTCTTGGCCAATCATTCATTTGCGGTTGACGTCCATTAGTTATAGCCATAATTGTTGCAATCAAGTCCTGTGCTTCATAAAATGGTGAGACTTTTGCTAAAAATTTAACAATTAAGACCGGTAATTTAACAATAAACAAACTATCAAGAACAAGAGCAGGCGCAGGATCTCCATAATTGTGAACAATACGTACACCCTTAGCGACTCCAGAACGCATAACAATTCCATTTCCAACGTTAACTTGATTCTCGGGTGTAATTTCGTAAAGCTTCCCGACACCAACGGGTGCATATTGATTGCTAAAAACTTTATATTAAAAAATTCGCAACCAAAACTCACTTATTAATGGAGAATTGTGTAAGCGCCATCTCAAGAAAAGTGCGGAGAGTTCTGTCCTCATCAAACATAGACTTACGCGATTTGTACTGTTCCATATCCGACAAATCAAGTACTGGGCATTGTGCATTTGAAGTAACAGAAACAGAAAAATCAGCGACACCCATATAAGTTCGGACATACTCATTAACATCGTCATTGGAAATGAGAATTTTAGGCTAAAAATATGAAATTACAAAAATGATAAACACTAATGTAAGAAACCTCTGCCATGTTGATTGGAGCAGAAGTGTACATCAAGCTCTTGCAGTTGTAGACAATCTCACTTCCAACAGGCATCCCAAAAGCGTTAGTCTTCCCATACGCCACAGTCAACAACTCGTAGCAAATGTTGCGATGAAGCGCTCGTTGCCCACTTAAAAATAGATTTGTGAGGGATTGATAAAATTTAAGAGCCAGGGACAGACACTAAACCAACAGAAGAGAAACCCCCACAAGACAATCCCAAGTTTAAAATATAAACATACTCGTCCGCCCCCTTCGACAAGTTCTTCTGCTTGGTTACGTTTTGAACGTCAACATCATAGCGATAGGCCATTTTTCCCTTCTCGACGGTGATAAGAAACATTGAACAAAGCCCATGTTGATCCTTGATTCGAAAGTCCTTTGCAGGTTCAGCAATTGCCTTCTTAAAAAGAGAAAATGATTTAAGCTTGTAAATATTCAAATTACAAGTTTGCGCTTCTTACGCTTCTCCTTCTTATCAGCAGTGGTGGTTGACATTTTACAAATACTTTACTTTATGTTGAGAAAAATAAAAGGATAAATTGAGGAAATCTAAAATTAAAAAATACTCTATAGAACGTTAAACAATATGCAACAAAAAAAAACAACAAAAAATAAGAAAAAACTCAATCAATTAGGTAAATTAATAAATCGAAAGCAAACTAACATTAAAAATGATAGAATGAATGAAAAGTTAGAAGCTTAAATACTGCAGTCGAGAATCTTCTGTCATCGTTTTGGCGTTATGTTTAGATTACTGTATTTTGCTTTAAATTTAAATGTGGCTGTAACTGGAGTCTGATATGGGGTTGATGTGAGTCCAGTCCCATTTTCCGTCCTAATAAAATGTACAGCAGGAGACGGCTGACAAAAAGATAAATGCCCAATTTTGGGAATCGGAAACGTGACTTATGTGAGTGTTTAAATATTTTTTTTAGATTTTTGAGCATTTTGTGCAAAAAAAATAAAAATTTTCCGTCATTTTTTAACCGGAAAAAGTAGAAACCCAATTTTCCCGGTCCCAGGTTACTCATTTTCTTTTTAGTTCCATTTTCCGGGTTTTCAGAATTTCAGGCTATTGCAATCGGAGCAGTTCAACTGAGTCCGCACGATTGAGTCCCCACGATTGAGTCCGCACGATTGAGTCCCCACGATTGAGTCCCGGCACAATTGAGTCCCCACGATTGAGTCCGCACGATTGAGTCCCCGTTGTATATACCTCAATTGAGTACCCGTGGATTTAATTTTAAAAATTCCATATCCTGCATTAGAGATCGGCAAAATCGCATTTCCGGGATCCCGTAACGGGATTGAGTTTGAAAATATCGAACGGGAGGGATCCCGCGGGATTAATCCCGTTAATCCCGGAGTCCCGGTAATCCCGTTCTCAAATTTACCGGGATTCCGGGATTTTAATTTAAAAAATTTTTTAATTATAAATATGTTGAATATCGTCGGATTTGGAAATAATATCGGTGGATTTCGACAGATTAAGGGAGGAATTAATAGATAACAGAGGATTAAGAGGGATATCAGTGGATTAAGAGAGATTGAGCATTTTAATGCTTATAGGTGGATTTAGGAGGATATCGGTAAATATTTGGAGAGATAAAGGGTGATTTGAAGAACGGTGGGTTAAGGTCAAAATAGTGGATTTAGATGGCTCAACTAGATTTGAATATGTGGGTAATTTTTAGAGTTCGAACCCGGGCCGGGACCGGGTTTTCCGGGCCCGGTAGCCCCGAACCGGGTAGTTTTGAGAAAATCCGGTTTTTCGGGGTTTCCGGGGTTTTAGCCCGGAAAACCCGGCCCGGGTCGCATCTGAAAAATCCGGGCCCGGCCCGGGTCCAATTTTAAGTAAATTTTAAATAAAATTCTGACTTTTTGGCCAAATCTACATTCGACTCACTACTTTCGAATGAGCTGTCATTCAAAAAATCTCTCGATTTTCCTCCTAATCCCCAAACCCACAATATCCATCTTAATCTCTCCAAATTTGTTGATATCTGCCTTAATTCAAACGATATCCCCGCTTAAATCTACTTATATCCCTTGATATTCACCAATATCCATCTTGATACCTCGATGTCGCATACAAGTCCCCTGATATTAACATTAATCCCTCCAAATCCCCAAATATCCCTCTTAATCTTTTTTAATATAATTAAATCCAGGGGACTCAATTGAGGTATATACAACGGGGACTCAATCGTGCGGACCAGACCTGGGCGAAACTCCAAAATTTTTTCAGACGAAACGAAACGAAACAAAATTTTTTAAAAATCGTTTCGTTAACGAAACGAGACGAAACAGTAAAAATTTAGCGAAACGAAACGAAACAAAACGAAACATTTTAATTTTCAAAAAATTTAATAAAAACGGTTTTATTTTCTTAATTATTCGATTTTAGACACGTTATTAGGCCAGTTATGGCCTATAATTGATCTAATAGCTTAGTGGGACCTTAAATTGTGGTCCCAGGCTCGAATTATGTGTTGAGGTGTATATCAGGGACCTGCCGACCCGTTTCCTGATTCCCTAAAATAGGTAATTAACTTTGTCGGAAATTACTATCGTCTAAACCCGTTCCTGATTCCCGGCATTTTTTTAAATTTTTTAAACCCTCCAAATCCACCGATATCCCGTTTACTCTCTCCAAATTTCCTATACCACCATTGCTCCCGCCAAATCCAATGATATTTCTCAACTCAGATTTTTTTGTTGATAACAACGTTCATGATTAGGGTTGCAAAATGGACCGAATCGGACCAAAATATCGAGTCGAGCCTAAGATATTTGGCCCGAAAAGTCTCGTACTGGCCCGACTCGATAGAAACAGGCCCGAAAAAAGGCAACCATATTCATGATCATTGCCATCAGTTGCGTTTTCGTTTATTGAAACTAAACTTTATTGAAACTCTTGCGCCTGCCCTGATTGGCATTAAGAGGTAGATCGATTCTATATGCCTAATCTAGCATAGAATTCGAGCTTTGCATATTAAAAAAACAAAATCAAACGAGAAATTCAAAAAAATATAGCAAATTATGCGCCGTAGGCGCTTAAAATCCAGATTTCAGCGCCGCAGGCAAAAATTTTTTGAATTTTGATCACCAAAGGGGAATTTTTTTCAGTTTTTGGGTAATATTTGGGTCTAAAAAATGGGTAATGTTTCGTTAACGAAACAGAGGTGTTTCGTTAACAAAACGAAACGAAACAAACTAAAAAGTGTTTCGTCACGAAACGAGACGAAACAGGAAAAAACATAACGAAACTAACGAAACAACGAAACGAAACGAAACGTTTCGCCCACGTCTGGTGCGGACTCAATCGTGGGGACCAGACCTGGGCGAAACTCAAAATTTTTTTCTGACGAAACGAAACGAAACAAAATTTTTTAAAAATCGTTTCGTTAACGAAACGAAACGAAACAACCAAAATCTTACGAAACGAAACGAAACAAAACGAAACATTTTAATATTCAAAAAATTTTCAAAACTGCATTTATTTCGAAATTATTCGACCTCAAATACGTTATTAGTCGACTATGACTTATAAATGATTTAGTTATTGGTTTATTTACAACAATTGTGTCCCATAAGCCAGGCCCGTAGCAAGGAAAATTTTCGGGGAAGGGGGGGGGGGGTCAATCATTTTCGAAGCCAAATTTTTGGCGACGCTTTTTTTTAAATAAAATTGAATATTTTTCAAGTAAAATTTTATTTTAAGCGCCGCAGACGAAAAATTTTAAAATTTTGAAAGGCCGTAGGCCAAAAAATTCACCATCTTGCTCCATTGCCTACCCAAATTGTCTCCATATCTCCATTTCGAGAGGAAGGCGATATAAGCTAGTGCTTCGCCGGAAGTTCCGGTTCCAGTATTTCCGCAACTCGCAATCCGCAATTTTTAAATTATGATGCGAGTCCGGTAATAGAATTTGTCGTCGATTAAGTAATATGTATATGTGGATTAGGGAGTGGAGTATAAACGGATTTGTAGTATATAAGTAATTGCTATCTTCCTTTTTCAGCGCCGCAGGCGAAAATTTTGACAATTTGGGAAAGCCAAGAAGCCGAAATTCTTTTTTTTTCAGCGCCGCAGGCGAAAATTTTTTAAATTTTCAATAAAAGATGGTAAATTTTATAGATTTTGGCCTTAGTTTAGGCTTAAAAAATTGTTTCGTTTCGTTGAAAAATCACAGGTGTTTCGTAACGAAACGAAACGAAACAAATTTAAAAGTGTTTCGTAACGAAACGAGACGAAACAGTAAAAATCATACGAAACATACGAAACAACGAAACGAAACGAAACGTTTCGCCCACGTCTGGTGGGGACTCAATCGTGCCGGGACTCAATCGTGGGGACTCAATCGTGCGGACTCAATCGTGGGGACTCAATCGTGCGGACTCAATTGAGGTGTACCGTATTGCAATGGCTGTTTCAGTCTTACATAATTTTTCCCTCTTTGAGTACGCGGCATAAACTCTGTGTTCTCCTCTTTCATCATTTGAATGACTAAAAACATTCTATATTTATTCTTTTCGGCAGAGAAAAAATAAATTGATTTTTGTTAAATAATTATTCTCATTTTTTACATTTTGCAGTTTTTAAGCAAAAATTTATTGGAACAATGGGTAAGTATTGAAAATTTAATTTTTAATTAAAAAAATCTTTTAGATGTTGACAAGTTACAAGTTGGAGACCTCGTTGCATGTGAAATGACTGCTGGCTTTAAAAATGTTATTGTAAGTTTTCTTTAATAATTTCCATATTTTAAACATCCAATTTTAATATTCTTCTCTATTTTTTTACTTAAAATATTTAATTTTAAGCATCGTGGTGTTTATGTAGGCGAAACAGATGGAATTGGTGAACACACAATTATTCATAATTTTTGTGCTTATTGTACAAGAAATTCTAATGGGGAAATAGAAGGCAGCGAACAAAATTGGATTACTGATGCAAAAATGGCTTTTAATGTAAAAACGGGTGGGGGAATAGTTATTTGGACGGTAGAGGATTTTCGTAATTCAGCAAATAATTTTAAATGGTGGATTGATAATATGGAAGAAACATTGGGAAAAGCTAAATTTAGTGGTAATGAAGTGGTTGAAAGAGCGAGGAAAGAGGTGGGAAATTGGGAAAAAATTAATTTAAAATATTTAATTACTAGAATGATTAACATTAGAGATTACAAAAAATAATAATTGTAAAAAACTAATATTAAATTAATATTTTTACTAAGGAGTCAGGATAGGAGTATTTTAGGGATTACAAAATAATTTTTAATTTAACCTGCTGAAAACTAAGGGTAATTTAATTACTGTTTTTGTTCTATCCGTCTCTTCGTCCTTGTGCTTCTTCATATTTAAAACTTTCGGGGTCAGGACAACCTGATAAAAAGATTTCGGGTGATTGTTAGAACAATCACCCGGTTCGGTTGACAACAAAAACAATTACCAGATTTCGACCACCCTTAACTTTACCGAGCTCGTTTCGGTAAAAATCAATTCAAAAATATAATTCTCATCAACTTTCCATTTTGTTGAATGATTCATTGTATTCACATACATATTTACATCAATTACCAATATATTTTTTTCGTTTCTAGGAGTATTTTAGGGATTATAAGATAATTTTTAGTTTAACCTGCCAAAAAATTTAAATTTTTTAAATTTTCTATACAGCTAGGAAAAAGAGAATATCGCCTTTGGACATGGAATTGTGAACATTTTGCAACTTGGTGTAAATTTGGAGAAGCAAAAAGTCCTCAAATTAAATCATTGTGCAATATTGTTTGACATTTTTTGAGTTTTAAAGAAAAAAGATTTAAATTTTTAAAAATAAATTCCTCTTAAACGCGCTTTATTTATTTTAAATGCACTTATTAATTTATAATAAATACATAAAATATTTTTGTATTTTTCGTTTAATTTATAAGGATCTTGACAAGCAAAAGATGGCCCAAGTTTATTCCCTCCAAACCTTCTAAAGTTTAAAATTATTGCAAACAAAGAATTAAAGATTTTATTCTTTAAACGATGATAAGGCTACCCTACAACTCATCGAATCCTTAACTCATCGAATCCTCAACTCATCGAAACGGCCAAAAACACTCAACTCATCGAATCCTTAACTCATCGAATCCTCAACTCATCGAATCGGCCAAAAACGATCAACTCATCGAATCCTCCCAAAAGGGGACGTTTGAGTCCGTGTGTTTATTTTTTTTAGGTTTTATTGTTTTGTTTATTTTTTTTTGTTTTCTTCTGGGGTTTCAACTAATTTTGTTAATTAGTTGATCGGGCACTCATCCATGTCTATCCGGCCAGTGAAAACATTATCAGATAATGAGAATGTTTTCTCACATTCCTGGTAAATTATGATGGAGATTTTACCGGGTAAAACCGGACCAGATTAGTCCAGTAGACCCCGATTATGCCCAAAAGGCCTTTTTCCTAGCCTCCATAGCAGCAAAAAATTTTTTCACCGAAGATTCAGTTAGCCCTTTCGGGAGAAAAATAAACACGGGGACTCAAACGTCCCCCTTTTGGAAGGATTCGATGAGTTGATCGTTTTTGGCCGATTCGATGAGTTGAGGATTCGATGAGTTAAGGATTCGATGAGTTGAGTGTTTTTGGCCGATTCGATGAGTTAAGGAATTTTAGCCGATTCGATGAGTTGAGCGTTTTTGGCCGATTCGATGAGTTAAGGATTCGATGAGTTGAGCGGGCACGGATGATAAATAACAGAAATAGATATTGGAATTTTGTGGAAATTTTGGTAAAAACATTGTACATATTTTTAAATTATGGGTATTTAATAGGTTTATTTTTATTGCCATAAATGTACGTGGTGGATATGTCAATTAAAAATTAAAGGTGCTAACAATAAACAATTTTTAAAGACTAAAAGAGTGTGTTAAGTGAATAGAAAAGTAAAGTTAACTCTGTTATAATCTCATTAAGAATTTTAAAGAAAATCTTCAAATACAGACAGTGGAAGTGGGGAGGGAGGATTATAACTTGATTTAACTTTTTAAAATTAAGTGAAGGAATAATATTAAGAAGGATTCATTAACAACACAAAGTAACTTGTAATGAAAAGTAGAATTTTTTCAAATATTATGTATGATCAGGGTGGCTCTTTCCAAATCACCAAAAGGGGCATGCCTTCCCAAAAAAGGGCGAGAAGGTCAAAAAGGGGGCAAATGCCTTCCAAACGAGGCAAAAGATCCACCCTGCTTATAATTAAAATAATGCTATTAAAGTTATGCTGTAAAAATGTTAAATAACTTCAAAAGTTTTTCAGAAAATGGACCCATCGAAAATATTCGATTGTTTGCCCCTTTAAAAATACAAAAATAGATTCTACTTTAAAAAGCAAATATACCATCAATTATTTATATTTTTTAGAAAAAAACATGCGCGAAAATAATTTAAAATAAAATACATATTATTTGGCAATTAACATAAAATTATAAAGATATATTAACTGTGCAATATTACAAAAAATATAGGAAAATTGCACAAAAAGATGGGAACAATTAAAAGAAAATATTTGGAATGAGTTTTTATTTAGGATAATTTGCAAATATTTTTTTTCCAAATTTAATACCCTCAAATCCTCCTATTTTTACATTAAAAAATATTTGCAAATTAAAATATATTTAACAATTTATTTATATATTTTTTATGTTGAAGCTGACGCTTCTGTCGTTGTGGCATTAGCAATTATTTTTACCAAATCCCCTGTACGTCTAGATTCAACATCCATACTTTGAAGTCTGGCTTGTCTCCATTCTCTACCTAAAAAGAGGATTTTTTAAAAGAAAATTAATTTTAAATTTTTACGTTTTTCAATTTCTGCAGCTCTTTGGCTAAGTGAAGAACTAGCTCTAGATTGGGGGGTATCACTTCGTTGCTGATCAGTAGTGCCATTTACCATTAATGGAGATGAAGCAATTCTATCCCTTTCAGCTCTAATTTCAGCTTTTTTTGTTCGAATGATTGAAGGCTGGTCAGATCGACTAAAAATTTAAACTAGGGTAGCATCCCGTCACCCAAAACCCCGACGAATTTTTAATAAAAAAACCCCGACCCGAACACCGAAGACTCTACCCCGATCCCCATCCCCGTGCGGGCAAAACCCCGGCTATTTCTTGGCAAAAACCCCAACAATCCCGCCCCCGAAGGCTCTGGGTGCTACCCTAATTAAAGAAAAGAAATCCCCCTTCCCTCTCCCCCCTCTCAATTTACCTATCATTAAGTAACGAGTCTAGCTGTTCAACAGAATTTAAATGTTCTTCCTCTTCATCCTCTTCTTGTAAAGAAAAATCATTTCCCAAAACTTTTTTATTATTTAGAGACCCAAAAGATGTTTCTCGAAGTCTTTCCATTTCTTGAGGATTAACTAAAGGCTTCTTTAACGGAATTCCTGAAGGACGTTGTGGAATTGTTGTAACATTTCCAACATTTGTCGAAACAGAATTATTGGTCGTCTGCAAATGCTCGAATAGCTTCAGTTTGGAACTGAATGACGGCACGGACGACTGCTTTGAATTATTCTGTTCAATTGAAGCAATATTTGTTGTTTTTGTTGAATTTATTGATGGATCATGTGTTACCTTAAAAAATTATATTTTTTAAGAGTTGAACGGGTAAACACAAAAAAAAATTTTTTGTTTCAATTTTAGAAAATAACTGTCTTAATTAAACAAAAATTTTCCTAAATTAAAATTTTAACCAACCTTAGGTTTTGGCGCAATTGGGGGAGGAATTTTACTATTTCCAACATCAATTACTGGAGGACTGCTATTTGTCATTGGTTTTGGGATGTGTGAAGATTTTATTTGTGATAAATTTGAAACAACTTCTTGTGGTGGAATAGGCGTTGAAGTAGCCAAAGGTTTCTCTATTTTTGAAGGTTTTGAAGAAAATCCATTATTATTTATATAATTCGTTGCTTTTTGTGTTGGAGAAAAAGAAGTATTTCGATTATTGGTAGGGGAAGATAAAATTTTTGCTGGTGAAGGAGGCAAAATACTTGAAAAATTAGTTGGCTTTGGTTGTTGTAAATTGACAACATTATTTGATTTTATTTGGTTGGATAACTTTAAAAAATAATTTAAAAGGAATAATCTTTAAAAAATTAACCGTTTGTTGTTTATCCTCGTTATTGTTAACAGAATTATTTTGACAAAATATTTTTGGTTCTTCCCCAGGTGGATATTCTATCGGTGTTGAAGAACGTAACATTTCGGGAGTAATTTTATTCCCTTGTTCAATTTCTGCTAAATTGCTTAATGAACGATGATGTCGAGGAAGTGGAAGAGGCGGTCTAGTTGCAGAAAATGCAGTTGTTGGGTTGGATCGAAGACTTGAATGGCGATTGAAATGATGTTGTTGTTGAAGTTGAGAAATATTTTTATTTTGGGGAGGGACAGATGAAACACCTAAATAAATATTTTAAAGAAATATCTAGCAAAATAAAAACCATTAATTATTGGTTTCTTTTGTTGTTGTTGTTGATTAGCCAAATCATTAGTAACAACACACAAAGATGGCAAAGAACGTGAAAGACTCAATTCACTAAAAGCTGTACTGCAAGTTAATGGAGTAACTTGTAAATTATCATTTTGGACATTGTCAGGTAAATAATTGCCTCTCTCAATGCCGACTGTTACATTTGTTCCTGGCAATCCAGTCAAAAGAGTTCGAACCTGAAAAATTAAATGACATGGTCTTCATGGAGATTTTTTAAAAGAAAAACAAGAACCTGATCTAATCTAGCACCAAATTTGACATTTGTTCCATCAATTGAAATAATTCTATCACCCGGCAAAAGTGGACATTCAAAACTTGTTTTTATTGCCGAAATAGAGAAAGGATCTTGTGGCCATCTTCCATTGCCAGAAACAGTGAAAGGAACACAACCATTCCCATCACGAATAATACGAAAAGAGTGACGCTCATTAGGTTTTGAATTGGCAGAAAAAATTTGTTGGGTTGCAAGACAAGAAGTTGAACGTTGCTTAAAAAGAAAAATTATTTAAAGAAATATTAATTATCGTACCATTTGATCATCAATAAATTGATCTCTTTCCACCAAAAATTCTAAAACATTTCCAGCATTTTTAATAAATTTCACAACATCAGAATGACTAAGTCCTCGAATGTCATCGCCATTCACAGCAAGTATTTGGTCATCAACTCGGAATCCAGCCTTTTCAGCTACACCACCAGGAACAATTTGAGAAATGAAAAGACCGTTTTTACCCTATAAAAAATAAAAATGAAGTCAAAAACTTTTCTTAAAAAATATAAACATTGTAAGGAAGAGAATCAGATCCCCCAACAATTGTCCATTGAAATCCTGCATCTCCTCTCTTCAATTGAATATTTTTCCGAACAGATTTTTTCATTTTCATTCCTGGTGTTTCTCCATTTTCTGTTGAATTATTATTTGCTCCCAATAATGCAGGTAATAATTCAGAAGTAGAAATTAATGAAAGAACAGATTGGGGTCGTCTTTTGAGAACAGAACGAAGTGGACGACTTTCCTCGATAACAGACTGATCATTGGATTTATTTCCAGAAATGTTCTGGGCCTTTAAAATTAAAAGAAGACTACCCAAAATCTGAAAACAAAAAATAAACCTCAGATTTATCACTTCTAGACGAACTTAAAGGAAGAGTGACACCTGCAGAAAGTTCAGTAGAATTTCGATTTCTATTTTTTGGAGCAAAAGGTTTTGGGTGTGGAGTATCATAACGTTCAAATTTCCCAATCGGAACTTTATCTTCTTCAAATTCTTCTGCCCGATCACCAGCAAAACATACACGAGCACCTCCAACGCAAGAAGAGGTTTTGAGTTGTGAAGATTGTTTTTGTGGTTGTTCTTGTTGAGGAAGTAAATAACAAGTGAGCACCTTTAAATTTAAAGAAATTTAAGATCATCGAGCTGAATCACTATCGCGTCTAGATTCTAAATCAATGTGATTCCCGTCGCCGGAAATTTAATACAAGAAATTGTGGTTTTTGAGTGGTATCATAAGGCTAGGGAAATGGAAAGCAAGATAAAGGATTAGGGTTAAATGATCTGGGTGATTTTTCAAATGTTCATAATATTAAATGGTTTCGTCATACCCTAGTTCATATGATACATGCCCAGATATTCGAACCCCAACACGAAAAAATATCCAAACTAGTATTATAACTTGTACACTATTTCACAATTATTTAACTTAAAATTTCAGATTAATTGTATTTATTTTAAGAAAAATTTTAAAAACAATCAAACCTTAACATTCGTAACTGGAGCATTTATAGTACTTAATTTGGGTAATGATGGTTGATTAAATGAAAGCCACAGAGCATTTAGAGTTTTAGCTTTGTAAAGAACCCTATAAAATTCCAAAACATTTTTTTCCTTCAAAATATTTAAAAATACGTTAATGTATAAGGCAAGTATTTCAAATTATTGTCAATCAAATCAAGAACTTGTAAATTCTAAAAAAATATTTTAAATTAAAAATTAATTAAACAAACATTTAATCTTCCAATTTCAAAAGGCAAATCATTTATTTGATTATGACGAAGTGAAAGAATTGTTAAAGATGAGCACCCACCAATTGTTGAAGGAATAGAACGTAAATTGTTTACATTAACATCCAAAAAACGGAGCTTAAAATTTTTAAATAAATTTTTAAATTATTTTATTAATTTTTAAAATTCAGGAAAGTGAAGTAAGGAAGAGCAAAGACGACTAAAATAAAATTAAATCAGTGAAAATGCCTTATAAGATTGAAAGGGTGTATCAAGGAACGTATGGTTCCTTCAAAGTAATTTATAAAAATCCGATTATGACTTCACTAAATCAGACCTACATACCAGGGGTGCGCGAGTTTCGCTTTTCGTCATTCGCTTTTTAAAATCACTTTCGGCACACCCCTACTACATACATACGCCTTTAACATAAGAAAGATAAATCCATAAATAAAAAAATAAAAAAGGAAAGAACAAGAAATATTCAAATTATTTAAACTTACTTTAGAAAGATTTCCAATACTTGCTGGTAATTCCTTTAAAATAATTTTTAAAAAATTAGAAAAAAAAACAAAACAAACGTTTAGTCGATTTTCGCAAAGAATTAAATCTGTTAATTGAACACACGAGCAAATTGAGGGAGTTAATTCTGACAAACAATTTTTTGCGCATTTGAGTGATTCGAGACGTTTTAATTGACCTTCAAAAAATTTGATTTGAAAAAAAATTAAAAAAAAACAAACCAATAGAGCTCGGCAATTGTCTAATTTGATTTTCACAAATAGTCAATTCCATCAAATTTTTCAAATCCCCAATATTTGCCGGTAATTCGTTTAATTGATTTCCACTCATATCAAGAGACCGCAAAGCTCCACAATTTAAAAGACTTTCAGGTAAATGACTGACCATATTGCAATGAAGATCCAACATTTCCAAACTAACTAAACCTCCCATTTCTGAGGGAAGATCTGTCAAATAATTGTCACAAAGATCCAAAACTTTTAAAAGACGTAGACGAACAATTGAGGGGGGCAAAGCACGCAATTCACATTGGGCAATATCCAAAAACTTTAAGAAAATTGATTAAAAATAAAAATTAAATTTTCAGACAGATTTGTGTTTTAAAAATTTTGAAGGATTCTTTTGTCACCAGAAATTTTTATCTTTTAGCTTGTATGAAAAATTCAAAAATTTGTCACGGAAAGATTTTTAATTAAAAAATTCTCTACTTAAAACCTCCAAAAAAGTTATTCAGAAAAATTAATATTCGGCAAAAATGAAAAAGGCCCATTCTATTCAAAATAAATTAAAAGAAAAACCTGTAAATTAACAAGATGATCAATATCCGCCGGCAAATGTGTAAGTGAATTATTTGATAAATTAAGACTTGCTAAATTGGTTAAATCCACAAATGATTTTGGAAAACTATAAAAAAACAAAAATTTAATTTAAAAATAAACTAAAATAAAATGAATCTATTTCCTAAAATTGTTTAAAATATTTTCTTATCGTTGGTGGTCCTTCGGGGAATATAGGGGTAAAAATAGAATTGAATAACCAAAAAACGATTTAGAGGTTATTCTTTCTTTAAGCTTTCAACAAAATATTTTGCTTAATTCCCGAAGTATCTAAAAAATTTATTGTTTATTTTTTGTTGCGTAACAGAACAAAAAAAAATAAAAAATAACCTAAATATTAAAAATATTTTCGGAGATGGAAATAAAATTAAAGAAAAAAAAATTAAAAAAATACCCAGTTAAAATATTTGTACTAATATCCAAACAAACAAGATTTTGACAGGAACCAATTTCTTCTGGAATTTCAACAATTTCTACAAAAAAAAATAAATTTAAAAATTAAAATTTTTTTATACCATTTTTACTTAAATTTAATTCCTCCAAAGAAAATAACATTCCAATTTCTGTAGGTATTACTTTAATTTTATTTTCGCTAACATCAAGTTTGCGGATTTTTGTGCAACGAAATAAATCCTGAAAATAAATTTTTGAAGGAAATTGTAATTTAAAATAAAGAGGTGAAACTTTGAACGGAAAAGGTGTGAGTGCATGGACAGTAGATTGGTAGGAGCATTTCGAGCCTTGTGAATATTTTATCCCAAGCCCGTAACAGTAAAGGGCAAGGGGGGAAAACTTTTCTGCGCCGAATTAAAAATCCCCCTGGCTACGGGCCTGTTTTATCCAATAGGGAAATTAGAAATTGAGACAACAAATGTATAGGAAAGTTGGGGAGGAGGGAGGGGCTGTTGTAAATTTGAAGCGAAAAAAATTAGGAGTCTTAAAGAAAACTTAGTCAATCCAGAAGTGAATCTCACATCCCATATAACACCCAAAATAAATCTAAAATTTTTTTAAATTTACCGGTGGAAGCTCCTCAATAGAATTAACATTAAGCAATAATTCCTCAATATATTTTCTGCTTTTTATAATTTCTTTAGGCACACTTTCCAATTTAAGTTGGCTAAAATCTGATTGTTCCACAACGCCATTTTTACATGCAAAAAGTGAAGAAGGAATACAAAAGAATTTCATTTGAAATTTAAATTGCACTTTTTCAAAGTCAATTAAATGATAAAAATGAATAACAATCGTAAATTTATTTTAGGCAGTGACCTGAAAATTAAAAATATAAACTGTTATAATTAAATTAAAAATAAAAAAACAAATTTAACAGAATTAATTTTAAAAGAAAAAAGATTTTTGTGTTGCCTGTTTTCTTTATAATCAAAAAATTCGGATAAAAGCTTTCAGCATTATCCCACTACACCAAAGTGGCAACTCCCTTGGGGTGGTTACATTTAAGCAGTTATGTTGCTGTATGTTCAACAGCGTAACTGATCAGTTGATTTTTACAAAAAGTCAAAGAATAAGCTTGACACTCAACCGACAACACCAAAGTGACCGTTTATTTTCTTTAATTTTGGCATTTATTCAAAAATTTTCTAAGAATTTTTTCAGTAAATTTATTAAAAACAGTGCGCGAGATGAAATATTTTCATTTGTTTTTGTATAAAAGAGTAAATTTATGCACACCTAAATTGACCACAGTCGTAAATAATCAATGCGCAACCAAAAGCTGCAAAAGCAAAGGCTTACTGCGCAGTATGTTCCATTCTGGGTTGCTATAGGTACTTCAAATAATTAAAGGTGTAAGGGGAACGGCACGCATGGGTGAGTTCCGATTAATTTTTATGGAATGAGAAAAATGTCCAGTATTTACAAAAAAAACATCAAAAAACACCGAAATTGTACACATTCCCGATAAAAATTTTTTTGGAGAAAAGAGGGGGGGAATGTCCCATTTGGATGGGTAAACAAACAAACACTCAACCAATCTCGACAAAAATCGATGACGGGAATTTTATGAATAAATATATTAGCAAATAGATTACACCTTTCCCTCTCCGACGATAGTAGACGAATGTTGAAAGAAATGACCTTGTTTTCCAGGCCTAGGTGAGTCAGCAAAACTGCGCTAGGCAGCGGTGGAGACACAATATTTTTGGAATTATTCAGACTAGTATAGTTGCTAGAAACTAATAAATGCTAATTCCCCCTTTTAATAAGCATGGGTATAGTTTCGAAAATTTCAGGCTATTTTAGTAATAGATAAGCAAAACAAACAAAAAAACTGTCCCGTTTTCGATTAAAAATTATTTTAGTTAGTCTTTTGCATATTCAATTTTATACAATATTTATTTGAAAACATTTAAAAATTGGAATAATAAAAAGATATTAAAATAATAAGTTGCGCAAAATTTGTTGGGGTTTGAGAGGATAAAATTATGTGGTCAAAAGGGAAGCACCAGGGGCAACGGGTCTTGGACAAAAAAAAAGTGAACCAAAAATAAAGAGCATGAAAACGTTTTAAACATCATTCGAAATTTCCAAAATAACTGTATAGACAAATCTGATTTCCCAGAAAATATTTTTAATAAAATTTTCGAATGACTTAAAAGTGCAATAATTATTTTTATAATTAACAAAAAAAACTCCCAAAATAAAAACTGAACAAAATATAACAAAACAAAAGCATATTAAAAACAAGAAAATTAGGTGCAACAAAAATAAATTGCACAGAATAACTTACAAAAGTTTAGGAATGAAAAAGTTCGCATAATTTTTTAAAAATTAAATAAAATATCTCGTAAAAAATTTTTTTGTTGCGAACTCTATTTTAAAAATAATTTAAATTTATCTGGTAGTTTCTGTCGTTGTGGCATTAGCAATTATTTTTACCAAATCCCCCGTACGTTTAGATTCAACATCCATACTTTGAAGTCTGGCTTGTCTCCATTCTCTGCCTAAAAAAGGAATATTTTTGAATAATAAATCCAAAAAATTCTCACAAATAAATACTCACGTTTCTCAATTTCCGCTGCTTTCTGACTAAAAGAAGGGCTATCTCTAGACAAAGGGGTGTCAGTTGGTTGCTCGTTAGTGCCATTTGTTATGAAAGGAGATGAAGCAATTCGATCCTTTTCAGCTCTGATTTCAGCTTTCTTTGTGCGAATTATTGAAGGCTGTTGGTCAGAGCGGCTAAATAAACAAAATAAAAACCTAGAAAAATAATTTCAACAAAAATTATACCCATCCAAAAGAAAAGAGTCAAGTTGTTCAACTGTTGAATTTAAATGCTCTTCTTGTGGAGAAAAATCATTCAAAGCGTTAATTCTTTTATCATTAGAACCACCAACTTCCCGAAGTCTTTCCATTTCCTGAGCACTAATTAGTGGCTTTTTTGGTGGAATTCCAGGTAGGCGTTGTGGCCTATTAGATATATTATTATTTGTTGAAGCAGAATTAGCTGATTGCAAATGCTCGAATAACTTCAGCTTGGAGCTGAATGACGGGTCGGATGCTTGCTTTGGATTATTCTGTTCAATTGAATTAGTGACTACCATGTTTGAAGTATTTGTGGAAACTTTTGCTGTATCTACCTATAAAAAAGAAAACAAATATAATCTGATAATTTCTAGTTGTTAGGTACCAAATTAGTTGTTTGACTTGAATCAAAAACAGAGTGAGTGGGGGGATCCTTAACTGGTGTTAAAATTTTTGCTGGTGAAGGTGGTAAAATTGAGAAGTTTGTAGAATTAGATGTTGAAATAATTTTAGCTGGTTGATGTTGACTGGCTTGATTTGATAACTAAAAAGAAAAATTAAATAAAAAATTTTATTTAAAACAACATTTTGTTGTTTTTGTTGCATATTTTCACTGTTAACATAATTATTTTGAATAATTTCTGGTTCTTTTCTCGGAGAATATTCAATTGGAGTTGAAGAAGATAACATCTCTGAAGCAATTTTATTTTCTTTTTCAATTTCTGTTGAATTGTTTTGTGAATGATTTGAAAGTGGTAATCCTAAGTCATTTAAAGTAGGCGCATTTAAAGATGTAGGAGAAGTTGCAACAGTAATAGAGGATATTTGTGGACGAAGGGCAGAATTGACAGATGGAGGAGATAAACCATCGCAAATAAGTAAGCGAACAGCGCCTGGGGCGGAGCGTCGAAATATTTGAGCGGCTTCCTCTTTTGTACAGCCAAGCAATGAATCATCATTAACCTGAATTTTAAAGAATAAATAAGCTGCAATTTTTATGACTCATTTAAAATGTAAAAGAGAAGAGAAAAAGAAATTTTAAAAGATCGGAATAAAAGATATAAATATAAAACTTCCGATTAACCTCCAAAATGCGTAGACCAACGCAAAGTCCAACATTGCTTACTGCTGCAGGCCCCATGTGTTCAACTCGCTCGATAAATATTCCTTCATCTGTAGAATCTTCAGGATTTACAGGCGTGCCGCCAATTCCTCCACAAATGCTCAAGCCAAGCGGTTCGTGTAATTGACGTTGAATAATTACAGAGCGCAATCCTTTTGGCTGTGGTTCATGACAAACAGTTAGATGGATTGAACAACCAGTTGACTTAAGGATCTTTAAATGAAAAATATTAACTCATAAATTGGATCTAATAAAAACCTCAACAGCCTCATTATGTTTTGCACGCGAAATATCAGCATCATTAACTTTCAAAATACGATCACCAATTCGTAAATTTCCACAAATTGCAGCGGGGGAACGCTGCGTTATTTTTGAAATGAAAACACCAGGCTTTAAAGAAGAACCAAAAGGATGAGAGCAATGATCAACGCCACCAACAATTGATAATCCAAGAGAATTAGCTGTACTATCTCTAACAAGTACAATATCTTCTATAGAGCCATCAATTATAATTAAATTAGGAGTTGTTTTAGAAGTAATATTAATATATTCATTTTGCGCAACTGGAAGAGAAGAAAATGAAGTGTTAGCAGTATTAGCCGAGGTAAAATGTGAAGGCGCTGTAACTGTTGGGGTTGTAGCAAATGAACTTAACATTGGAAATGATGATTGTGAAAGATGAGAAGGTGATTTGGGTTGTTGTGCAAGGAGTTTCGTTGTGGCGGGGGTTGAAAAGCTGGAATTTTGATTTTGAGATGAAGCTGGATTGTTAGAAATTTTAGAAGTTGAAGCTGTTGCTGATTTATTATTTGATAAATTACTTTGTTGATGTAAAGAAGGAACGCTTGTTGAGGGACCTGAATATAAATTTGCATTTTTAAATTAAAAATTTGTTATCTCACCACTTTGAATTGTTCCACTTCTCCGTCTTTCTATAACCAACTCCAATTCACCAACTGATTGTTGGATACAATCAACAGCACTTTGATGTCGTTTTCCTATCATAGAAGTTCCATTAATCTCCAGTACTTTATCACCCGGTCGCAATCCAACACGTTCAGCTGCCCCACCTGATACAAGTTTTGATATGAAAATTCCAGAATCATTCTCCTTTAAAAATACAAAAGTTAAAAATAAAAATAAAGAAAAGTGTAACAATCAGTAAGGGATTCTCTCTATTCACAATAATCAGAGCCCAATGCTCTTTGCCCAATTTCTTCATATTGTCACACTTTTCTATTTTATACCACTTAACCAACATTTATTAGAACGACATAGAAGAAAAGCCCTTGTAAATTTCTTTCGTTTATTTTTTGTGAAATTTTAGCCCCGCCAGTTTTCATATAATTAAAGAAAAGTTTTCGCGAAAAAATTAAATATCAAAAAAATTAAACTAACAATAAAAGGTGTAGATTCAATACCGCCAGCAATTGAAAGTCCCAAACCGCCCCCACTTCCATCTCCACGCCGTACAACGACCCGTTTTCTTTCTAGCATATTCCCCTCTCTGATGCTACCTCCTTGCGCCGACTGAAAATTTAAAAATAATTTAGTAATGAATTTAGAAAATTAGATGAAAAATTTTTTTAAAAAACAGATAAAGCAAAAAAAAACTAAAAAAGAACAAAGAATATAAAATTAAAAAATAAAAAAGGAGAAAATGTTAAATAATTAAAGGTAAATTAATCCAAAAAAATCAAAAATATTTTACCAATTTATATTTCCCTAAAAAAGCTTTAAAAAGTGAGGCAACATAATATTTTAACTGCAAAATGGACAAAAACAAAGAACGACGACTATACCTGAATGCGCATACCGTCATTTTGGTCGATTCCAGTTGTAACAGGAGGAACTGGATCTCCAACAGCATTTGCTGGAGTTTTTGGCAACTGTCGACGATTTGATTGATTTTGTGAATTGTCACCACTTTCAGCCGCCGCTGCAGCTGCTGCCGCAGCACGTTGACTTTTGTAGTGTGGAGTATTGACTCGCTTCAGTCTGCACTCATTTGAAGATGATTCTTCTTTTGCAGTAGTTTTGCCATTATTGAAGATTACAGCTTTTTGTTGTTTTTGTGTTTGCTTTAGATTAAGAGAAATAATTTTTTAATTAACAATTTTATAAAATTAAAAACCTGTTTTGGTGATTTTTGTAACTCAATAATAGGTTGTTGTTGCTGTTGTGCTTCAGTAAACGATTGCATACGTGACGGGTATTTAAGTGCTGATCTTGGAAGAGTGTTCTTTTGTTCAACGGCAGTGGAGGTAGAACAACTAGGCACAGCAGCATGAGCAGAACTATGGTCCTGACTTATTTTCTTAACGCTACCACTAAGAACAATTGATTTTGGATGCTACAAAGTTAAGGAGAAGTAATTAAAATATATATTTTAAAAATAAACCTCTTCAACTTTAGCAGCAATATGGCCATCAACATGCTGTTTTTTGTGATGTTTTGAAGTACTAGAACTTGTAGAAGCACTCGGTTTTGGATGGGGAGTGTTTTTTCTTTCAAAATTCTGAGCTTTATCGGCACTAACTTCTTCTCTTTCCGCTTCATCTACACCAAAATGAACCTTTGGGCCACCAACAAATCCGCCTGATTTATTTGAATTTGGTGGTTGTGAATTATTGCCAGATTCTAAAATAATTTTAAATATTTAAATTATAAATAAAACTTTACTATTTTGAGAATCCACTTGTGGCAACAAATAACAAGTCAATATTTTTATTCCACTTCTCGAGTCAGTTTCTTGTTGGAGGCGAACAAGTGCTTGAGATTGATTTTCGGATAACCAAAGTGCTTGTAATTCACGGAGAACATTTATCTAAAAAGAGATTAATTTAAAAAACTAATAGCGAATATGTATATCAGGCATAAAAAATTATTTTAAAAGAGCTTGAACAAATGGGGGCATTTAAGAAAAATGATCGAAATTGCCAAAATCACTATCAAGCTTTTTAAAAATAAAAAACAAACTGTGTAAGGCAAATGTGTAAGCATATTGTTACAAACATCAAAAACTTTTAATTTTGCCAATTTTCCAATCTCCATAGGTAATTCTTCTAATTGGTTATTTCTCACTTGGAGTACATTTAACGATTGACATTCGCCTATTAAAGAAGGTAATTGGCGTAATTGACAACGATCCAAATTTAAAGTTTGTAAATATTTGAGATTTCCAATAGAGCTGGGAAGCTCCTAAAAATTTTTTTTTTTAATTTTAATTAAAAATTTAAAGTATTACAGTGATAGGGTTCTGTTGCAGATAAATCTCACTTAATTTAATACATCCACCAATAGCTGGAGTAACAGAGCCAATCATATTATCGTCCATTTTGAGAATGAATAAGCGTTTTAGACGACCTAGTAATTTTTTTAATAATTAAAAAAAAATTTATTTTAATTAAAAAAACCTATAGAACTCGGCAATTCTCTAATACAATTATGTGAAGCAGTTAAATCAACCAAATTTGAAAGATCACCAATATCTTCAGGTAATTGAAAGAGTCGATTTGATGTTAAATCTAACTGTTCTAAACGAGTACAGTGAAGAATTGAATCAGGTAATTTTTCCAAACTGTTTTCATCAATGTATAATTCTTGTAATGAACGTAGAAAGCCAATTTCGTTAGGCTTAATAAAAATTAATATAGAAAATAATTAATATTGACAAAATAAATTTTTGTTTGATTTAGTCAAAAAATTCCTTAAGACTGAGTATCTGCCGAAGAATTTTATAAAGTTGAGAAATAATTTATTTTAATTTCACCGAAAAATAATAGACCTTATCAGTGTGGAATTTAGGAAAATAAGAAAACTTAGCAAATTTTCAGGCCAAATATAAGATTTTATTAATTTCCTAATTATAAGAAAATTGGTCATAAAGAAAATAACTCAAAAACAAACCAATTCATCCAACTCATTCTGCCCCAAATCCAGCCTCTGCAACTGCTTCAATTCAGAAATTGAGACAGGTAAAGCTCGCAAATGGTTTTCTCTAACTTCCAACGATTTCAATGACACCAACTTTCCAATATCCTGAGGGAGTTTAGTTAAAGAAATGTCGTTCAATGAGAGTTGTGCAAGTGAAGTACAGAGAGTAATTGAATCGGGAAGTCGAGCAATTGGGTTAGAAGAAATGTCGAGGACTTGGAGATTTTGGCAAATCCTTAATTCCTCTGGGAGATCGGATATGTCTGAAAATAAAATTAATTTTAAAAATTAAATTTTAAAATGATATGAAAGGGAAAAAGATTTAACGATTAATCGGTGAAGGAAACAAACTGATGAAAATACCCAAAAACCAGATAAATTTTTAAAATTATTAAATCCAAAAGAAAACTAACCATTTCTGCTCAAATTTAGCTCAACTAAATTTTGAAGCCCAGAAACTTCGGGGGGTAAACGATGAATGTCGTTGTCACTCAAACCAAGCCGTTGAAGTTTATGAAGCCGGAAAAGTGATTTTGGGAGGGAATTTATGTGATTCTTAAAATAAAAATTAATTAAAGAAGCACAAAATATAAACAAACCATATCCAAAAGAAGTTCCTCAAGTGAACGTGCATAACGTTCAAGATCGCCAGGAATCGATTGAAGATTACATTGTCGTCGATCGATTAAATCAATTTGACGATTGCAGGCGAAAAAAGGCATGCAAATGAAAGAAGGCATTTTTTGAAGAAAATTGCAAAAATTAAATTTTCGTCAATTTGATTTGTGAAGAATTTTGAAAAAAATTTTTTGAAGAAATTCTTGTTTATATCAACATTTTTAGTTGCTAACAAAATTATTTTTTGTTTAATAAATTGATGTTAATGATATGAATTGACAATCATTTAATAAAAAATTGATGAATAAAAAATTGGAATTGTGGTCCTGAAATTAAAAATAAAATTAAATTAAAATGTAATTTATAAGGGCTAAAATAAAACATTTATTTGTTAGAGAATCAATTCAAAATTTAAAAAAAGAATGATATTATTGGGACAATAGATAGATTTACATAAAATTAGTATATTACTACTGACAATAAGTGGGAAGTGATGGGAAACATTTAAAAAATGAAAAATATAAAAAATAAAAACATTGATTTGAGCAAGGAAAATTTTAATTTAAATTTGAAAATTCGAATTTTATGGGCCAATATGTTGCAAATTTAGGAATATAAGTTATTGGAGGACGCGAGATCCCACAAAATCCAATACAGAATTTTCTAAATTCACATTTGGATAAAAAAAAGATTTTGGCGTTTTGGGGTTGGTATTTTGAAAAATTAAAATAAACATTTCGCCAAAAAATGTCAATTCAAGTAATTTAAATTGGTGGCGGAAATAATAAAGTGACTGAAATTAATAAACGTTTAGGCAATAAAAAAACAAAAAAAAAACAATTCAAATGAGAAAATTTTTAAATGCGTGTAAAAATAAAAGAAAAATTCCTTATCTACATTACACTTTTCATTCCAAAAATAAAGCTTTGCTTTTACATAATTAATTAAACGAGAAAAGCTGTTTTGTCTAGTCACGGAAATTAACCGAAGTAAAATAGAAATGTAACAATAAAATGAAAATATGTAAAAGGTTGGGAAAAGGTTGACAAAAATAAAAATAAGTTTGTTTTATTTAAATAAAATTATTGAAAAAAATGTTAAATAGAAGGAGAGTTATATCTGACAGGAGTAAAATCCGAGTAAAAAATCCGTCCATTTCACTTTAAGGTATAGTGTGTTACTAAATTGGGAGTAAATAGACCCCGTACGGGATTTTACGAAATCCCGTCCCGGAATCCTAGGTTTTTAGCGACAAATGGGATTACCGGGATTCCGGGATTTGCAGTATTAATCTCGCGGGATCCCGGGGGATTAATCCCGTCCCGTACAAAATTAAAAAAAAACCGTTACGGGATCCCGGGAATGCGATTTTGCCGGCCTCTAGTTGTAAGTACTATTGGAGGTATAACAGAATTCTTAGGCAGCTCTCAGCTCTCAATGTATTAGCAAACCAAATAAAAAATATCAACTAAATTGAAGTATTTACAAAAGTAGGTGTAAACTATAAAGTGAGGTCCCGACTGTATTTAAATATTTTTTTATTTGATGGATTGTTAAATAAGCGTAAAGTGTGATGATTTAATGACGATATAAAAATGAAAATACAGGAAAAGAATTGATTTATACTTTTCTATATTGTCAAGTGGCGCAATGGATGGACTAATAGAAAGCATTTCATTTCCGCTTTTTTGCCAGTCTTTTTATTGTTCATAAAAAGAGTATAAATTCTTGTCTGTGCATTTCCCTCAATTTTTCTTTTTTTTGCTGCTATTGAGGAATTTTTAGGCGGCACTGGCATTTTACTAGTTATTGAATAGGAAGATGCATGCAACAATAGTCAAGGATGGGCGCAAAGCTTTTTGCGTTATTTGCGTTGATTTTTGTCCTTAAGATGCGTTTTGCCTAAATTTAGCCGAAAATAAAGTAAAAATATCACTAAAAACCCTCCTGTATGAGGTGTTAAAAGGTGGAATTTTGGTTTCTTGGACATCTAAAATATTCAAAATTAGCGCCTGTAGCGCTGAAGAGCAAGTAATAAAATAAACTAATTCAAGAGTTAACTCTTGAATTAGTTTAATAATCAAAAAGAGAACGAGCCTTTAAACAGGGCAGTACACAACGAAGGGGTAATATCCCGGGCTTAGTCTCGATTCTTAGTTATGGGTCTCGGAAAATTTTCAATCTTGTACCCAATAATATTCAAATGATATTCTCAACTACAATTTTTTATATTAGAATTATACTGATAAATTGGAGAGGATGAGGCAAATTTTATTAATATGTGCAAAATTTCACATTTTAATATGACACTTTTTAAATAAACAGCGCGCAGATTATTGCGTCAACGTTATCACTTAAAAAGGGAGTAATGATACATTCTAATCTAAACAATTATTTTAATGTCTCATCAACATAAAAATATGGAATTTAAAATTTTCCCGGTTATTTAAAATTTGATTTAGATAAAAGGAAAATAATACATAAATACTTTAATAAAAGTCAATTTTTAAAGTCTCGGAAAATATTAAAAAAATACACACAAAAATATCTTCTTTCTAGTAAAAATAAAAAGAAGCGCATTTAAAAGAAGAAAAAGAGAAAAATGGCCAGCCATGATAGAAATTTGGCAATGAAAAAATTTTTTGGGGAAAAATTTCTAGTAATTCCATTGAATGGGATATATAAATATAGCCAGTCAGTCAGTAGTCTCTTTATTTTTTTTTTCAAAAAAATATTATAGTCTTTTTATTATTTTTCTATGTTTATTCTACAAATATTTCACGTGGCCGGGACAGAGACAATACAAAAAATGTGGAGAAGTACACTACAAGTCAGTTTTTCTTGGACTTTTTTTTATCCGAAAATAATGTAAAGACTGAAACAGACAATTCACGTAATGGACAATTCACCGAATAACTAGGCACTCTCAAATAAATGTATTTTTTACGTAAATTGTCACAGAAGACAAGAAACTTTTATTTTATTAATCATTAATGCATAAATAAAATAAAAATATTATTTTTATTTTAAAAAAGAAAAAGTTTTTTTTTAATTTTCATAAGGTGCAAAAAATAATTATTTTTTCCATTAATAATTGAAAGGGAAATGAAAAGTTTTGGGGAAAAAAGTTGTAAATAAGAGTGTGATTTAAATAATAAAGCTAATTTTTGTTTATTTTTAAGAGTTTCTAAACAAAAATTCTTTAAAATAAAAATTCTATCAGATTTTTAATTAAAAATAAAAAATTCTTTTTTTAACATTTTATTTACGAATGAAAGGAGAAAAACGTGTGAAAATATTATTTTTATTTAAACAGAAATACTTTAAAAAATCAAAATTTTTAGAAATTAAATGAGATTTTTTAATTATAAAATTAAAAAAAAACTGTTTTTGCACTAATCTATTTTTGAGGGTTTTGGAAAAGAATGGTTCTGAGCTCATGTCAAAATTAAAGTAACTCTCGCCTTAAAAACATATAAATTTGTAATAATAAAATTATAGAAAGAACAATTCAGGGAATCCAACTTAAACCTAGGCAAATTCAAATAGGTACTTAATCTTTTTCACAGTAAACAAGAAGGGGAGAAGTTGGAGTAATTCGAAAAGGGATTGCTGTTTCCCTCATGCTCTCCCCTAAAACCCCCAATGTTCCCCCGTAAATGTTTAGGGGAAAAAGTTTTCCTTTTAAAAAACTTTTAACAAAAAAAAACAAACTCTTTTAAAATATTTAATTTTCAATTTAAATTTAACAAAACAATTAGTAATCTAATAAATAAATAATAACAATTAATGTGTGTTTGCGCGTCTGGTCAATTCTCTTACTTAAATAATTAAATAAACTATTTAATTAATTATTTACTTTTTGACTTTTAATTATAAAAATAAATAAATATATTTAGAGCAAAGAACAAGAAAAAATTATTTTTATATAATTTTTTGGATTTATTTAAAAGCAGTTGGCCAATTCAATAAATTATAAAAAAAGGAGGGAAAACACTTGAAAATAAAATACTAAAAATGAGTCCACCACATGATTAAATAAAGAAAAAAATTATTAATTAGTTAATTAAAAATAGAAGAAGAATTTTGGGTAAATATTTATTTAAACTAAAAAAGAATACCAAAAAAATATTAATTTATTTAAAAAATGATAAAAAGATTAATTTATGGAAATTATTGGGAATTTGTTAATTACCTCAGCGTCCTAAGGGAATTTTATGACGAATGAAATGAAAATTGCTTCAAATGAATGGTGAAGAAATAGGTAAAGCATGAATAGAGGGATGGATCTTTTTCACAAGGGATGGATTTTCTTCATTCTTCCGCTTTTTTAAATCCAGAATTATCAATCCCTGAGGTAGACCCTCTTCCCTGTTTGGCAAAATAATTTAACAAAAATTCCTTCTAAAATAACAGTGATTAATTATGAATTTTCCCTAAATATTATTTAAATATCCCTCCACAATTTTTAGAATTTCGGTTCTGATTTATTAAATTATGAACAAAAATAGACAAAAAATAGCATTAGTTTTGCCATATTTTTTAATTTAAAAATCAAAAAATTTTAAAAATAATATATAGAGTTAAATATAATTTTATTTTTCTAGTCTTTTTTGTTTGGTTTACGTTTACGTTTAATGCACCTAAATAAAACAAAATTTCATTGGGTAATCTAATTTAAAAAAATTAAAAAATAAATTTCAGAATTTTCTAAATAAAAATAATTCAGATTTTATTCGATCGTATTTTTAGGACAACGTAAAATTGATAAAAAATAAAATAAATTTTGCTTTTTATTTGTTTAAGAGTAAACAGAAAAAAGATCATTAAATGAAGAAAAATAAAAAAAAATTATTTGTTTGTGTGCTGTCATTTTGTGATTAAATGGTTGAAAAATGAAAAAAAAAGAAAAAAATGTAATTTATGTTTAAATAAAAACATTTAAAAAATCGAAGAATTTGACGGTATTTTTTTTTATTTTTAATTTTAAATTTGGAAGTAATTAATTAATTAGTGATTGAAAAAATGGTACTTTTCCGTTATGCCACCTCCCCCTAAATTAATGTTCAAAATGTCATATATGGGGTAATAAAAAGTGCTGAGTAGAAAGGTACCACTCTTTTTCCCCGGAGATGTTTGTGGATTGAGATGAGGGTACGAAATGGTCAAAAACCATAGGGTAATTTTGGGGTAAAAAATTCGAATAACCAAATAAAAGCTGATTCAAAAGAGCTCATCGAGCTGAGTCGATAAACGCCAAAATCTTCGAAATCTGATTTGATTTGACCGAGATACAGGTCCCTAAAAATTGAAGAACCACACAATTTCTTGTATCGTAACTCGGTCCAAACTGGTTCGACCACGTTGATTTTGGTGTCACTCGACTCAGCTCGACGAGCTCTTTCGAATGAGATATAATTTGCATAATCGAATTTTTTACCCCAAAATCGAGCTTACTCCCCCCTATGGTTTTTCGATTTTCGGGGACCTATAACTCGGTCCAGAATCATTTCCTGAAATTAGCAGTGGTACCGTTCGACTCAGCACCTTTTATTAGCCCATGTTTGACATTTTGAGCATTAATTTTGGGGGAGGTGGCATAACGGAAAAGTACCGAAAAAATTAAAAACAAGAAGTGTGCTGAAACAAATTTTAAAAAGCAAGCTTCGAAAGCAAAATATAGAAAAACGAGAACGAAACAGGCACACATTGTCCAAACAAGAGTTTAATTACCTCAAATTTGGAAACAATTTTTAATGGTTTTGGTTTATTCTTTATTCAAAAATTTCTGGATAATTTACTCAAATATTTCGATGTCAGTTGTGGGATTTTTAGGCTAAAATCTACATATACTTATTTCCCTGATGGACTAGAACTAGAGAGCGGACTGAGAATCTAGATCGAGATCTCGAAAAGCACGTCGAAATTACGAGAATTACGAAAATTACGAGAATTAAGATCTCGAAAAATTCTCGATCACGATAACCGAGATCTCCTATCAAGATCTCGTTTTAGTCCGGTCTCTAGTTAGAACATAAACGATTTTACTATGAATTTCTATAATTATTTTTGAAAAAAAAACAAAGTCAAAAATTATTAAGTTCTGTTAAATTATTTTCTTGTTTTATGATTAAAAAAGACAAACTACACGGAAATAAATCATAAAAGAAATAGCGCCAAACAAATTACAAAAATTATTTGTGCCGAAAATCAATGTTTTTTTCAATTTACATGTGTACATTATATTCTGTGCATATTTTTCTTCTCCAATTTTTTAATAGTAGGTAATTCCTTCTTATCATTTTTCATTTTCTCATAAAATTCTCTTTTATTTTAGTTAATAAATAAAATTAATTATTAAATATACTCTCTTCCTACAAAATTAAAAATTAATTTTAAAGGTTATTTTTCAAAGCATTTCTTATTCGATTAATTAAAATATGGCATCAATTCAATCTGTGAGTAATCAATTGATTAAATTAATCATAAATAAAATAATTAGAAAAACAGCAATTTAACAGTAAAATCCACATTCACTAACATAAAACATTTTTGCTGTTAAACGAAGCACGGATTTAACAGATTTTAAAATAAAATTTATTTTTATGTTCGACTTAAATTTTGGGGTATTTCTGGTTTGGTCTTTGCCTTCCTTTTCACAAAAAATACTTTAAATCAGAGTTGGGGATCCCGACCGAGGCCGGTATAGGTATCGGGATCTGTATCATCATTCCAAAATGCCGATTAGGTCGGAATCCTGATGGCGCCCAACCCTACTTTAAATACAAAAAATATTTAAAGTTAACTTCCTCCTCAACACAACAACAACGTGAATGTTTATATAAAGTGCTTGTAATTGGGGATATGGGAACAGGCAAAACTTCATTAATTCAAAGATATATTCACGACTCATTTCCATCTTTATATAAACCGACAATTGGCGTTGATTTTGCTACAAAACTTATTCAATATGAAGATACTTTGATTAGACTTCAATTTTGGGATATTTCTGGTAAGTATTCCTTTTTAAATGGAAATTAAAAAATATTCAAATTAAAAAAATAAATTTAAATTTAGAGCATATATGTATTTTTATTGGTAAAATTGAACTTAGTACCCCCCTCAAGAAAGTGGAAAAATGGCCAGTCTTAAACTGTGTTACCTACTTTGCTCTATGACAATAAGTACTCAGCTCTGTTTTTAGAACCAATGTCAACGTGGGTGTGTGGACCAGCTCTTTTATTTGTATAAGGTTTGCCGTACTAGCATGATCTTTTATGGGAATAAAGAAACTAGTCATCTAGAGTTCTGGTACACCCACACAATACCGGATCATTGGTTCTAAAAAGCAGAGCTGGGTACTTATTGTCAGAGCAGTCACACATTTAACAAGGACCGTTTTTCCACTTTATGGAGTGAAAAAAAAGGGGGGGGGGGGTACGAAGTTTTGTTTTGAGGTATTTGAAGTTAAAATAATTTTATTTTCCAAAGTTTTTTAGTCAAAGTTTCTATAGTTTTACTTATTTTAGAGAGCAATTCAAGAAAATAAATAATAAAAATATTTTTTCAACAAAAAATTATTTTTAGGCCAGGAAAGGTTTGCCAATATGACTCGAGTCTATTACAGAGATTCACATGGAGCATTTATTGTAAGAAAAATAAAAATTCTTTTAATCTTTAAAAAAGTATTTTTAACAATTAAAAATTTTTTGAATTTTTAAACTTAAAAATGAGAGACGTCTCATTAAACTTAGAAACGACAGACGAAATTTTTTTCAATTTAAAATTTTGAATTTTAATATTCTAGTAGATTAATTCTAATATTTTAAAAAATTTTTTTAGGTCTATGACTGCAGTAGTAAGCGAAAAGATGAAACATTTTCTGGGGTAAATTTTTAATCATCTATCAAAAAGTCCGCTTGTTTATTTAACATACCCTCTAGTGATGCTCGGGAGAAGAAAAAACCCGGGAATCGGGAAACGGGAGTCGGGTCGGGAAATGACCTCGGGAGTCGGGATCGGGAGTCGGGAATTAGCAATAAAAAAATTTTCCAAAAATTTCAAAAAATTTTTGGCGCCTTCGGCGCCAAAAATTCCGGTTTTTTGACCATAGGCAAAAATATTGAAAATTTTGGAAGGTAAAGAAGCCTTACTAGCGCCGCAGGCGAAAATTTTGAGAATTTTTAGGTCAAGAAGTCAGATTTCTTCCATTTTTTGCGCCGCAGCCAAAAATTTTGACTCTCATTGGAGTGAAATAGAAAGGGGTCTTGAACGATCTTTAAGGGTAACTTAAGAGTTTATTTCCCCGATTATTTGGAAAGATAAGCCATCAGCCTGTCCAAAAAACCTTGTAACCGCAGAGATAATCAGTGTTGGGTATTGCTGGGGGCTTTTTCTTTGAGCCAGAGCCCAGCTTTGATTTATATTTGTTGTCATTGACCTTAAGTCCTTAGAATCTCTCCATTGGAGTGAAATAGAGGAAAAGTGAAACAGAGCAAAATATTTTTACGTTCAATTTTGGTGAACTAGCCACATATCTCTTTATATCCCCTCTATAGTATTAACACCCCCTATGCAACATTAATCATCCATTGATATCTCTCTTTATTACTGTAAATCCCTCGTTATCTCTTTAAATTCACCATAATCCTAGTAAATCACCGAAATCTTCTATACTGTGACTCCACAGATTTTTCAATTTTCAGCGCCGCAGGCGAAAATTTTGAGGATTTTGGAAGAACCTTAAGCCAAAAATCTTCGCTTTTCAGCGCCGCAGGCGAAAATTTTGAGAATTTTAGAAGACCAAGAGGCCAGATTTCTTCATTTTTTCTAAATGAAAATATAATTTTGTAGAAAAATCCATTCTTAGGGGTGTAAAAATTTCCCGACTTAGTCGGGAATTGACACCGGGAGTCGGGATCGGGAGGCCAAAAACTCGGGAAATTTTCCCGAGTCGGGAGTCGGGATACCCGAGCATCACTAATACCCTCCTCTGGAAACCAGAGGCGGGTCGGAAAAAGTTCTTTTTGCAACTCAAAAGTCAAATTTGAAGGGATTAAAAGAGATGAGGGATTTGGGTTAGACTGTATATCAGAGAATCTATAGAATCTAAATTTACGCCCTATAATCTCTCTTGCCTCTCGGCCTTCCAAATCGGTGACAGGTTTAACTGTAAAAACACTTATTATATCGCCCTTCTTAAACCCAACTCGAAAAAATATGAGAACCCCTTAATAGCACAATAATTTATTAGATTATATACAAACACAATACAAATATAGCAATACAATACAGTAAAATACAATTATAGCGAAAACGAATGTCGAAATATTTATACAATCATGAGGAAAATCAATAGGGTGAAATATCTCAATTTTATCTTTCACATCCCTCATTCCCAGTCATATGGATGCTCAGGGATCCTGTTCTCGGTGAGATATGCGCGCAGCATCTTCATTATCCAGCTGTAGTCTGGACGACCGTAGAAACGCATCTCGTCTATATGCCTCAGGATAGTGATGAATTCATCAGGGCAACCAGCGACGAGGGCACGCACAGCATCAGTTCGCACCTTCAGTGGATTGTTCGGGAGTCGAGCTTCTTTGAACGTACCAATCTGCAAAATCAATTAATTATTTAGTAGTTAAGAATTTCTTAAAAATTCGTACCGCATCCATGTCGCCGACACCGCTCCAAGGAAGTTTGCCGGCAAAGATTTCGACCATCATGTAGAACCTAGTAGGGAAAAAGTTAGAATTTGAAGGAAAAAAACTCGTCTATCAGTGACTTACCAGGATTCCATGTCATCCTTACGTGCGTATTCTCTTTTGATGTGTGCTGATGTAGCCGCATAACGTGGAGTCCCTCGGAAACGTGCAGACTCCCTTGGACGCATCAACGACCCATCTGAGTGCATGAACTTTCTCGCGATCCCAAAATCAAGCACGTAGATTATCTGCTGTTCTCCCTCTTCCTTCCGTCCGGTAGTCGTGTTTGCCGGCTTGATATCCCGGTGGAGATATCCAATGCCATGAAGAGCCCGTAGCGCGTTGACCATCTGAATTGAGACGCCGATCGCTGTACCAGGAGAGAAGCGTCGACCAGGTCGAGCTTTGACGAGTTTGTCCAGTCCTGGGCCAACCAGCGACATCCTAAAAGAAAAAGGTAAGTTACTGCTTAATTTACTGCTCCCTAAAAAACCCCGTTCTACCCGTATAGTATGTAATCCAAAATTCTTACACGATATAGTTGAAGGACACCTTTCCAGCAGGTCCAATGGTCTGACTGTCCCTGCCGATGTCGAAGCACTTAGTGAAGTGACGGTCGTCCTTTATGCGGTGCAGTTCCTGAAGAACATGGGCCTCCATTGCTAGTAGCGGCATTGACGCATCGACTGGCTCAGTTTTGAGATTGGCTCAGTTTTTGGCTCAGTTTTTGAGAGCCCCTTCCCTCAAGCCGAATTTGCAGTGGTAGACAGCTCCGAATGCACCGGCACCAAGCTTTTTGATGATCGTCCATTTCTCCGCAACTTTCATCCCTGGCGATAACTCGACGAGCTGCGGCGGCATTCCTGAAGAATCTGTTGAGAGCTCCGGAAATGAGATAAGCGCAGGAAGGTATACAGATGACTGAAAAGGAAAAAAGTAATTGATGAAGATGAACGACTAAGATAAACTAAAAAACTAAACCGTACCTTGGAAGATAACGTCGTGACGAGCAAAGCCAAGTGTGCCAAGAGCCAAGCAGGTTAGAGACAGCGACCAATGCAAGCGGCGTGAGTTTGGGTGTGGTTTTTAACAGCAAAAATGTGTTGGCTTTTATAGTCGAGATTTTACAGTTAAACCCGTCACTGATATTGTATGCTACCTCACCTTTCTTATTGACACTCATTAAGATAGACCTAGCCTTTATTTACGAGTTTCTATCTCGATTATAAAAGCCAACACATTTTTGCTGTTCACAACCACACCCAATTAACTCACGCTGCTTGCATTGGTCGCTGTCTCTAACCTGCTTGGCTCTTGGCACACTTGGCTTTGCTCGTCACGACGTTATCTTCCAAGGTACGGTTTAGTTTTTTAGTTTATCTTAGTCGTTCATCTTCATCAATTACTTTTTTCCTTTTCAGTCATCTGTATACCTTCCTGCGCTTATCTCATTTCCGGAGCTCTCAACAGATTCTTCAGGAATGCCGCCGCAGCTCGTCGAGTTATCGCCAGGGATGAAAGTTGCGGAGAAATGGACGATCATCAAAAAGCTTGGTGCCGGTGCATTCGGAGCTGTCTACCACTGCAAATTCGGCTTGAGGGAAGGGGCTCTCAAAACTGAGCCAGTCGATGCGTCAATGCCGCTACTAGCAATGGAGGCCCATGTTCTTCAGGAACTGCACCGCATAAAGGACGACCGTCACTTCACTAAGTGCTTCGACATCGGCAGGGACAGTCAGACCATTGGACCTGCTGGAAAGGTGTCCTTCAACTATATCGTGTAAGAATTTTGGATTACATACTATACGGGTAGAACGGGGTTTTTTAGGGAGCAGTAAATTAAGCAGTAACTTACCTTTTTCTTTTAGGATGTCGCTGGTTGGCCCAGGACTGGACAAACTCGTCAAAGCTCGACCTGGTCGACGCTTCTCTCCTGGTACAGCGATCGGCGTCTCAATTCAGATGGTCAACGCGCTACGGGCTCTTCATGGCATTGGATATCTCCACCGGGATATCAAGCCGGCAAACACGACTACCGGACGGAAGGAAGAGGGAGAACAGCAGATAATCTACGTGCTTGATTTTGGGATCGCGAGAAAGTTCATGCACTCAGATGGGTCGTTGATGCGTCCAAGGGAGTCTGCACGTTTCCGAGGGACTCCACGTTATGCGGCTACATCAGCACACATCAAAAGAGAATACGCACGTAAGGATGACATGGAATCCTGGTAAGTCACTGATAGACGAGTTTTTTTCCTTCAAATTCTAACTTTTTCCCTACTAGGTTCTACATGATGGTCGAAATCTTTGCCGGCAAACTTCCTTGGAGCGGTGTCGGCGACATGGATGCGGTACGAATTTTTAAGAAATTCTTAACTACTAAATAATTAATTGATTTTGCAGATTGGTACGTTCAAAGAAGCTCGACTCCCGAACAATCCACTGAAGGTGCGAACTGATGCTGTGCGTGCCCTCGTCGCTGGTTGCCCTGATGAATTCATCACTATCCTGAGGCATATAGACGAGATGCGTTTCTACGGTCGTCCAGACTACAGCTGGATAATGAAGATGCTGCGCGCATATCTCACCGAGAACAGGATCCCTGAGCATCCATATGACTGGGAATGAGGGATGTGAAAGATAAAATTGAGATATTTCACCCTATTGATTTTCCTCATGATTGTATAAATATTTCGACATTCGTTTTCGCTATAATTGTATTTTACTGTATTGTATTGCTATATTTGTATTGTGTTTGTATATAATCTAATAAATTATTGTGCTATTAAGGGGTTCTCATATTTTTTCGAGTTGGGTTTAAGAAGGGCGATATAATAAGTGTTTTTACATTTAAACCTGTCACCGATATTGTATGATTCCTCACCTTTCTTATTGACTACTATCAGAGGTGGATCGGAATTCCGATTTCTGATGTTCCTTCCGATTTCGAAATTTTGGAAAAATTTCGATAATTTTTAAACGACTAAAGATTTTTACAAAATTTTCGACTTCGGCGTTGAAAAAGGAAGGTGAAAAAATTTCAGAGTTTTTGATTAAACTTTGTAGACTTTGTAAAATTAAAAAAAAAAAACTTATTTTCAAATTAAAAAAGGCTCTTCGTTGGAAAAAAGATTTAGATTCAAAACTTTTATTAGACAATGGACAACCAATTCCAGCTATTTTATTAGCAAATAAATCAGATTTAGAAAATACTTTAACGACACAACAATTACAAGGGCAAGTAAAGAAAGGGAAATTTGCATCTGGGTAATTTTGAGAATTTATTTCTCTAAGAAATTTCTTTTTAAAGATTTAAAATTAGCGTTAAAAATGGTGATGGAATAGATACAGCACTTAATTCTTTACTTATGAGCATTGTTAGTAATGAAAGACATAGTCTTTATTTAATTCCAATGTTTGTTTTTTACTGACCTGTGCATGGATACGGATATGGATACAAATAATATCAGGATGCCTGCGGATATCCGTCTGTATCCGCCGTAAATATCCGGATATGGATACCAAAATCCGTGTCCATGCACAGGTCTGGTTTTTTATAAAATTTTGAGATTTTTAAAAAGTTTTTCTAAGAGAAAACGGTTTAGTAATATTTTTTGGATTTTCATTGTCAGTTTCTGGGGTTTGGCTGACCCTCGTTTTCTAATTAAAACTATTTTTGGCTAAATTTGTTAAATATTCCATTCATAATTAAGTTCGCAATAAACACTTCTAAGTAAATATTTAATAACATTAAACGCCAAATTTTTGGGATTTCAGTAGTGCTTCGTCGGAACCGAAACTGAATTTTTTGGCCAACGGCCTTCTAAAATTTTACCGGACCGTAACTGAAGGACCGGAACCTGAACCAAAAAATCCCGGAACTTCCGGCCTACCGGAACTTCCGGCGGGAGCTCTATTTTTAGACGGTAAAGAAACCGAATTTCTTTAAATAATTTAAGATTCTGGTTTGGGTTCCGGTTAACTTTTTCTCATAATTCAATTTTATTTTTTTTAATTTTTATTTAAATAATTTAAAAAAAATATTTTTTTTCAAAAAGGATTCAAAGAGATCAAGAAGTTCGTAATTTAGCATCAGAAGAAGAGGAAAATATTGACAAGAAAAATCAGCGAAGAATTAGACGTTTAACAGATGGAATTTGTTGTTAATTTAATTTTTATAGAAAAAATTAATTGTTTTTGATTTGTTTAAAGTTAAAGTATCTCTACAGACATTTTTTATATTTTTCTTTTACATTTATTGTATCTCGTTAATTAAATTCTTATTTTTTTAAAATGGTGTGAGATGATATACTGAACAAAAGTTCAGTATATTTTTTGAATTTATTTTTAAGAGCAAATGAAATTAATTTTTTGTCGTATTTGTTAAAAATATTTTTTAGATTCTTTTAGTATTTTAAAAAATTATTTTTAAAAAATAATCTCTCCTTTAGAAAGATTTAGCTTGATTTCTAGTGGAATTTAATACAATTTGATTTTTGCAAAAAAAGAAGAGCAGGTCTAAAATTTTCTGGCAGTGTATTTACTAGAGGTCGGCGCGGGCGGGATACCGACTTGATTTTCCGGAATCCGGGATCTTTCAGGATTTATCCCTCGGGATCCCGTCTCGTCATCGGTTAAGAAAAAACTCCCGACTCGGGATCATGGAGACTCGTTTTTGCCGGTCTCTAATTTTTACATAAAGAAAATACAGTTGGGCTTGTTTAGAGGAATTAATTATTCCAATGTTTTATTTAAAAACAAATAATCAAAAAAGGCAGTCTATTCAAATAAAAAAATATTCTTTTATCTTTCCGAAATGGGGGAAATTGAAGTTGAAAGTCTAGTTGTAGGAGTACTTCTTGTATCATCAGTAATATTTGTATTAGAATAAAATCGTGCCAATCCTCTAGAAAATTTATCTTCTTGTCTTCGATTTGAAGGACGTAAATTAACGTTATTAATTCCTTCATTTTCTTGAGAATTGTCTATATTGTAGGGCAAACCATTAAAAATGGGTTCTCCAAAAATTCTTTTTGTTGATTTGTAAATGTACTGAAACCCTTTAAAATTTTATTTTTAATATTTTTTATTCACCGGATTCTCATCAGCAGACCAATAAAGTGTTTGTTCTTCTATTGGGCGTATTGAAAATTGCTAGAATTTTTTAAAAAATAATTTTTTTCAAAAAAACAAGCAAACAAACATGTAATTCTGGACTAGGAGGGCTAATAAAAGAAGAACCAGGAATTGCTCTATTAAAAGTATTATCGTCAATAGGGCTTGTAGTACAATAACTAATTAATGATGGAAGTTGGGAATTTCTTCTAGGCTTGCCATGGTGAAGAAGATAAGAACAACTTTTAAGTTTGGGGAAGTAAAATTATTTAAATTAAATGGAAAGGAAAGGAGTAGTGTTTCACCGGAACCTGAACCAAAAAAAACACTGGAACTTTCCGGAACCGGAACTTTCGGTGAAACTCTAGAAAGGAGTATTTAATTTTGAAGAAAATTGGGGAATTTTTTTGTATTTTTTCGAACTTATAAAATGAGAATTTTTTTGTCAAGGCAACAAGTCCGATAAAATTTTACAGAAAAATGTTTTTTCTGAACAAAATAAATGGTGTAACCTTTTTTTGTATAGCTTTAGGTTTTAATCCCATCTTTTACTATTTCCTAAAATTGGGGTATGTCCACTATATATGTACATACAGGGATCCTGACGAAAAAATTAAATTCTCGATTTCGAGAACCGCAATCCGATCCAAAAAACGTCAGGAATTTCATTCGGGAATGAGGACGGCAGATTCCCTTCTTATAGTCATACACATTATGTAGTCTTTCCCAAAATTTTCTTTAAAGAAATCTTTCAATTTACCGTAAAATACAAATAGTCCCAAAAATAATTTGTAAAGAACAAGCAATTGCTGAAAGTCCAGCAAAGCATAAAGCAATAATTAAAATAATTTTTTGTTTATTATTAAATCCAATTGAAGCGCGGGCATTAAAAAGAATTTGCTAAAGAAATTTAAATAAATTAATTTTTGAAGTTAAATTTACTAAAAAATAAGTATTTGTAATTGTTGAATTGAGTGTAAAAAGAGCTAAAGAAGACAAAATAATTTGTAGCAATATTGCAGACAATAAAAATTGAGAATTTTTTAAACAAATAATCTAAATTAAAGAAGAATTCTTTTAAAAATTTTATTTATTGTTGAGTAGTTTGGGGAATGATTCTTAATACATTATTTTTTAATTTTCTTAAAAATAAAGTCATGTTTCGTGAGTATTAAATTCCTAAAGAAATCTAAGTTTACTAGAAAACTGGTAAAGTTAACATTTTTAATATTATTTTATATTTAATTAAGATGCCGAATTTCATATAGGTATATTTTCGAGTTCAGGTCTAACTCATGCTTAGGCCTATTCAGTATGAGTAAAACAAAAAATTTTAATAATGAAGAATGGATGTTTAAAAAATCCAAAACCGTATAATTACCAAAATTTTCCTTTCCTAATCTATTAAATTTCAATTCTCCAAAATTCCCCAAAAAACAAATTACCTGAATAACAAAAACAGTAAATCCCAACAATCCATTGCCTAACCGATAATATTGGCTTTGTTCTAAAACAGCTTCCCCCCAATACCATTTATCTATTTCAAAAAATATTTCACTTCCAATTATTGTAAAAGCATAGAAAAGTGCGCTTAGTGAACAACAAAAATGTAAAACTGGTAAATTATTTTAAAATTAAATTTTATATTGGGAATTTAAGTGATAAAATATTTGAAAGGAAAGTTTCTTTCCACCCTTCATTAAATTATTTTTCATTTTTTTATTTTTCTTCTTTCCTTTTTAGAGTAATATCCAGCTTTAAATTAGAGTTACAAACTCGGCCTGAACCCCGCCCTGAAACAATTTGAAATCCCTTACCCCGACATACCCGCTCCCTGGCGTTCGGGTCCCATTCTACTTTAAACATATAAAAATTTATTTATTTACCCCCATATTTTCTTTCATTTTTCTTTTGTTTCCCCAATAAATTTCCAAACACAAAAACTCCATAAATTGAAGTAATTAAGGCAAAAAATAAAATAGTTGTTTGAATTCCAAAAAGAATTGACTGTCCATATCTACTTCTTTTATCAAAAACCCTTTCGTTTACATAATCCTGGTGGGTAAAAGATTGGAATGTTAGCCAGCAACTTAAAATTGCCTTTTCGGCACAGACGGAAAGGGAAAGGGAATTTAACACAAATTTGATGATTATTGAATTTCTGAAGAAGAAAAAAAATTTTCAAGAAAATTTAAAGGAAACCTTTGTCTATAATTTGTATTTAACAATCCTGTACAAAACAAAAGAACGGCAATCCATAGAAGATCACCTCCAATATAGTCCCCGGTCCAGGATAACTCTGCTAGGCCTATTCCTAGTAAACACAAAAGCGATAATGTCCATAATGAGTAGAGAAAGGCAAGAATTCTGATTTTTAAAATTAGATTTAAAGTTTATTCTGTTAATGTTTTAATGTTTTTTTGTATTTTTTGATATATTTTAGAGTGCATCCTAAGTTACCGCAAGGCCAAGGTACCATCGAGCTCTAACTATGTCAAAATTATCGAATCCGGGACACCCTGGTATGGTTCGATACATCTCGATGAGTTGAATCGAACCATATCAGGGCAACATGGATTCGATCATTTCGCACGAAGTTACCTTTCCCTCGCGGACCTGCTCCCTTTTTTGTAAGGAACAAGAGGGATCCAGCTAGCCAACATTTTTAACGCTTTTAGGCGGGTGTTTAGGATCTATTAAAAGAGATTGAATTAGTTGGTAGATAACTGGCAGAAAGTCGCATGATCCTTTTCAGGGTTAAACTTTTACCGATGTTTTTTGAAATATTTTATTTATCTTTATTTATTTGCCATTCAATTTATTTTTTATTCACCTATTTTTTCTTGTAATATCCAAATCAAAATCATTTCCTCCTTTCTTTGTCACAGACTCGCGCAAGCAAGAAGAAGCTAAAATACAAGTACAAGCACAAAGTAAAGACAATATAGACATTAAAATAATTAATATTCCATGCACAATAACTATTGTATATTGAGGGGAAGTTATTGAAGAAAATGAAGATTCTTTAAAAGAATTTTTAGAGGAATTAATTTTTAAATTTAATAAACAAACGAGAAGCACTAAAGGCTATTCTATATGAATTTATATCTTCTTTGTAAAAAGGAAAGGAATTATTGTCTACTGATTTGAGGCTCCATATTGCAACTATTAATGAAAGTCCAATGCTAACCTTTTGAAAATAAAATGAAAAAAAATATTTTTCTTAAATTAAACTCTCTTTTTAAGGGACTCCCCTAGATAATAGTTGATATTTTAATTGTGACCGCCTTTTTATTACTTCCCCCCAAGAAAACGTCCTTCTAATTAGAACATTTCGAATACGAAAGGAGTAAAACGGCTAACGAGAAGCACTAAAAGCTACTCAGAAAACATTTAAAAATTGGGTGGACCTTATCCTGTGAGCTATCTGATGCATGGTTATTAACCGATGGACAACCCCATTATAGCTTGATCGTTTCCATTTCTTTAAGGGAAATTTAGGAAACTTTGTTAGCCTAACACAAAAACCTCTTAATAATCCCCCCAAACCTTTAAATTTAAAGTTTTGTGTGTTTTATTGTAAATAGCATATAAATCCACAAAAGCACTTCCAATACCAAATAAAGAACTTAATTGGTCCAAAACTAAACGAAAATAGTCTTGACGTAAAGCTATTTGTGTGTGTTCAAATTCAACAAAAGCAGCCATTCCTAGACAAGCTATTGCTGTTAACTTTAAATAAACATTTAATTTATCTCAAAATTTATTCAACTACCAATTTCCCTAAAGAAGCCCCAAAAAGCAAAGTTTGATTAAATTTAGCTTTAATTCTATCATCTGGCCATGCTGGGTACCAAATATTTTCTATAGCCACTAAATTATCTAAAAGTGCCAATGAAAAAAGTGCCAACAAAAATACAAGAAAGGAAAGTATGGACATTGAAATTGAAATTAAAATTTTTGGAACAAAGTTTGTGTTTGTAGATGTTGTGAATTGGATAATTGAAGTAAATTGTTCAAATCTTCCATTTAATTGTTTACTTAGGTGAATT